CCATAAACCTTAAGCATAGAACTCGGAATCCAACGAGGGGCATTCAACATACACTGACGAGGACACTGATGATGAACCTGCAGCGTGCTTGGACAGATTATTCTTCTTGGCATCTGATTTCCTCCCTCTGTAATTGATGACAGAGCGCGCCTTCTTTGCCTGTAGCACCAAGTTGTGGAACGAACTCATCGTCAATCTCCAAAAGGCATAAGGAGACCAGCTCCGGCTTCAGGAACAGGATAGAAATGCTTGTCACCATGCAAATCCCCTGGTCAGTCTTCTCGTCGATCGATTTTAAGGGATTCTCCGCTTGCGCCTTTTCGGGTTCAGGGTAGATGACTAAGCAGGGCTGAGCAATTGTTGCTATTTTAGAAGAAACTCCAAGCATTGAAAGGTCATATGCGGGGTTCCTGAAATGCCCAGAATAATTGGTCGTTTGGAATGGCAACGACAAAGGGGCGGGCGTCAAAAATGCAGCAATAGTGGGAGGAAGGAGGAGTGCGCTCATCTGAAACTGAATCGGGGCTATCAGTCTGCTAATTTGCGGCTGTGCTTTAAGACATTGAGCTTTTAGTATCTTACATTGGCTACGAAACTCCCTGGAAACTCTACTATGTGTCAATGACTCCCCAGTTTATTGCGAAGTGCAATTATATTAAGTGGAATATCTGGTAAGAGGGCGTGTCACGCCGGTGTTGATACAATCGTTTCAATGGGGACTGCAGAACTCGACCTTACGTCATCTTGCAACAGGGGTACTCCATTCTGTAACTGCTGGATTTGGTTGAAGTGCGTAGCCCGGGCCCAGGCCATGGTGGCCTTAGGCCTGGGTTCGCGACATTCTGCGACAAGTCACAACGCCCCAAAGGGCTTTGAATATTGATGCCAAAGGACTGGCCAGAGCAAAGACTCGAAAACGCAGAGGGAGACGCTTGCACGTTATTCTGTTATCTACTATTATCGTGAAGCTCCCATTGTATCTTATGGTATTTTCAAGATATGATGCTATGCTTCTTCAACCCTTACGGAGACATCTCCTGCCATGCCTTTGAGGAGGACTTAATTCTAGAGACAACGTTGATAGTTCAAATCAGAAAGATGGAACTGATCAAGGGCTAACAGGATAGGTGAGAAGCAGCCAAAAAAAATAATTATCAAAAAAGATGTGCATCATCCGTGAATCGAACACGGGCCTCATCGATGGCAACGATGAATTCTACCACTAGACCAATGATGCTATTATATGAAAATGTTTGCAGCATTTTTGACCTATCAATGAGTATGACAACTTCATGTTAATTCTGCTTTCGACTTCACGACTCTGAGAATGAAGTATAGTCGACCCTGTAGTATACTAGGATAGGTGGCCGGAAAGTCGATACTGAAGAGACATCTGATAGTGCTTTCCCACCCATGTCTACGTGCAAAGGGTAGTGGCCTTGAATTCTGCAGCCAACTCTACAGAAGACCATGTTGAAGGTTAGGCTCTCTCTAAACACATCCAGTCCCAGGAAAAATATATATAGAGAGCCTTTAAAGTATAATTCTTATTCATGATCCTCACTTTTGTTGTTTCTATACCAAGCACATAAGAGAGTTTCTATAATATCTCCTCTATTCTGCCTATTTTCTCTAGTAAATCCTACAGCTTATACACAAGTGGGCAAAGCATTTCTGGCTTAAGCTTTGAAGATAGAATTATAAATCTCTTCAATTATCCGTGTAGTAACGTACCGCCTGTATTTGGAGAATAGACAGCTAAATATACGGAGCTGCTAATCTGGCTGAGGAAGTCAGAAATAGGTAGTAGTATGGACTCTGGCATGATCGGAAGCGCGCCGAAACAGAGGAATAGGTAAAGGTTTAGTACAGTATGCCATGGTAAAAGGTTGAACAGTTCGCCTTGGTGCTAACAATGGATTTCTACATTTTCATAAGCTACGCGGAGTAGACAAGATCATGCATTATGCATGATCTGGTGCAAACGATCGGGGCTTCCTATCTTCCGAAATAGCGACTATATTCAAGGACCCGCTCATACCAATGAGATACTACATAGTAATTTGGGCGAGAGCATCACTGACGAAATTTGATAAAACCAGTAGGAGAAAAGGATGAGGCCGCATACTGGAAGTTGAGCCGAGATTCGGGCTCAGCGTGTCTATGGCAATTTCCTGTTATAGTAATGATAACACTTCACTACTTCAGCGGAAGTATGCGCGCCGGCGGAGGTATGCGAATGACCCACCGGCTAAATTGAAAGTTCCTGGCGGGATTGCCTGATTCCTCTGGTTGTGATTTGACTGACGCTCTTGCCCATCCACGTCCTTGTTGCGTAGATAGTCACTCAGCGCTTCAAGTTTTTGTTTCCATTACATGATGACAACAACGTGTGAATGAAATACTCTCATTCGGGGCCATGAGCTACTTATGCTTCGAATCAGGTGTAAGAGACGAACATCGGAAGAATGGTAACATGGTGATTGGTCTCCCTATCGCCCAGTGTCGGGTCAGTTGAGCCTTGGCCCACAACCTGCAAAGGAAGCACTGCCTCAGTGCGCCCGATTACTTGGCGCCAAATACGTGGTGGGACCTGAACCCTTATCCTGTCCATAAGAGCCTCATTGTAGATCCACGGAGGTGTCAATTAAGAGCAATATTGTCACAAGCTCATGTCTATCGGATCAATTATGCCGAGTACAATTATAGCCAAAGTAGGATGCATGTTCTATGGTTCAAGAGTAACCATCCCCTGTGTAACGGTAATCATCGTCGTTGTATTTGGGGTGATTGCACAGCACAAACCTAATCCTTCGCCCGCTGATCTCAACACGAGATCGCCGACCGAAGTGTCGGGGAGGGCTGTGAGCTCTGGTGCCATGGGTCAACCCGGGGGGATGTTGGTCGCTAGAAAACATATAGAAAGACCCGGAGAGCTCACGTGGCTATTGACAGGACGGTATTGTGATGCCGGGGCAACGGCAGGGAGAGAAAAGCATGCCTGCCGGGTGATCAAAGCACATTGTAGTTGATTAAGTGGTCCCATCCATATGCTGCCCTATCGTGCTAGTAATCTCCAAGTCTCAGTATGGTTGGTGGAAGGAATCCGTGTGGTTCGCCTGCTTGCCGCATAGCCGTCTTCGTCTTCTAGAATGATGTAATTTGCATGGGTAGCAGCGTAGCATCGCAATATCAGAGGTGAGACTCAATTCTTAGCGGATTTAGTACCCTCTGGCACGCGCCTTTCGGCCTCGGGCACAGTCTAAGACATTGGCGCAGATTGGTCCGTCGTTGATCGTAAGCGTGGCAGGGTCTGGAAAAGTGAGGAAACTTAGGAACCTTCTCATCAACAAAACTGTACTATATGGACGAATTGGGGCCTCCTAAGTTGCTCAGCCTTGGGGGGCGGAGTAAGAGCTCCTGAATGGTTCCAGCAACTACTAGTGGTAGTAACAAGCTGGCGGGCGGAAAGCCTCAGGGATCAAGGACACGAGGCGTCCAGAAGGAATGGGCTAAGAGGGCCAACTTAGGAACCAAGCAGCCAAGGGCCATCGGACCCAAACTAGCGACCCACAGCCACCGATGCGGAGAACATCTGAGTTGATGTGAGTAGTTCATTGTGCTAGCTACCACCCTACGGGAAGCCTGCTGTCGAGTGGTAGACTTGGGAAACTAAGGTTGTAGCTGCTCAACGGTATTTAATTCCCCTCACCCCCTCTTCCGATGTCATATTTCTAAATCCCTCTCCATCAGTTCATCATTCCGACTTTTAGTTTTTGACGATTTGTTTGTCTCTCTAGTTGACTTTATATATCCACTACACCATCACCTACGATCTGAGGTTACCGTCCTAGTTTTACTCAAGCCCTTCGCCTCTGATTTGGTTCAATTACCGCTACACACTGTACACTGCTCTACGACCTGCGATTCCTCCCATCAGTAATTGAAAATGTCGGCCGAAAGAAGCGCAGATATCAACGGCAAGGCGCCAGTTCAGCAACCTACTAACTCTGCCCGCGCGACACAAGGTGCAGGCTTGGTTAATGTGCAACCAGCGCGCTTGGACGACCTGCAACCGAAGTATGCGCAGCAAATTCAACACGGTGAAGATAACCCCGATGCGCACGGATGGTACGCTTCGTTCAGTAAGTTTCACCCTTGACCTATATCACACCATCCAAGCTTTATTGGTCTAACGGACTCGTGATGCTATTAGTTCACGGACTTGGTGAATGTATTGGTTGCTTGGGTGCCATTCCATGCTGTTTCTGCTGCCCCAACCCTTTCAAACCAGTCGCGCAGGGTGAAGTCGGCTTAATCACAAGATTTGGAAGGTTCGCAAGCCCCACGACGATAACTCTAGAATATATGTTCTAATTGATTTTCTTCCCAGATTCGAACGCTCCGTCGATCCCGGTCTGGTCAAAGTGAACCCGTTGAGCGAGCATCTCACAGCGGTGGATGTTAAGATCCAGATCGTTGAAGTGCCCCGCCAGAGCTGCATGACCAAGGACAATGTCAACCTAAACCTCAGTTCCGTGATTTATTACCAGATCGTTTCTCCCCACAAAGCCGCATTTGGTATTTCCAATATCCGCCAGGCGCTTGTGGAGCGTACTCAGACTACATTGCGTCATGTTATCGGCGCAAGAGTTTTGCAGGACGTTATTGAACGCCGTGAAGAGATCGCTCAGTCGACTTCAGAAATAATCGAGGACGTTGCTGGTGGATGGGGTGTCCAGGTAGAGTCCATGCTCATCAAGGACATCATATTTAGCAATGATCTGCAGGACTCTCTTTCTATGGCTGCGCAGTCTAAGCGTATCGGTGAAAGTAAGGTCATAGCAGCTCGTGCTGAAGTCGAGTCGGCCAAGTTGATGCGTCAGGTACATATCCCATCTTATGAATCTAGTCGACATGAGCTAATCAATTTTAGGCCGCTGACATCTTGTCTTCTGCCCCTGCTATGCAAATCCGCTATCTCGAGGCGATGCAATCCATGGCCAAGACAGCCAACAGCAAAGTCATCTTTTTGCCAGCAATGAACCAGACCGTGCAGCAGCAAATGGCTGCGGCAGAAAATGCTGGCGAAGGCCCTAGTCGATACCAACAGCCTGATGATGGATTCCAACGTGCAATGAATGCGCGCGTCGTCGAAGACATATAGGCGCAATGTACCATCTGATTTGATGGCTCGATACCGCTGGGCAGAACAATTACCCGTGATGAGAACATGCTAATGATGCTGAACACTTTTTATATTTGGAGATATCACAAGGCGCGATAGCCTCGTGCCTTTCCTCTCGCTTGGTCCCCAATTGTTGCTAGGGGTCCCTATCTGGCTTTGACGATACCCACATTCTTTTGTTACATAAACGGGACGATTGCGCCTCTAATTCAATAATATTATCCTCTTTCACTTTTTTTGTTCGTAAACCAATGAGACCAATGCGAAGCGATCGGATTTTCTGGCCATTGACAGCTGTTTCTGCTCATTCGCATTGGACAACATGTGTATTTATCGCGGCAGATAAGCAATAGATACTGCCGAGGGCGGTGTGAATGGTTTCATGTCAGCAGCAGTGGCCGAAAGTCGTAGACAAGCATGACCTTGTTGCTAGCTATCTGACGATTTACTACATTGTACCCTGACCTTGACCGGTGGGCTATCGATTTATGAAACAGCGCTGAAATAGGGCGTTATTGCCCTGCATCTTCCCCACCAAGCACACTCTTGTCGATACGATGGCTCCGTCGCCGAGTCCCAGCCCGGCTCCTACAGCTGCGAAAGTACCAAGCTCACGCCCGTCACTCGAGATGACAGCCGACTTCACTGACCAGTCTTTTGATCCCGCCGAGTACCTCAACAATGCTCTTCCTGCGCTGACGCTGGCATCATCTCAAACGAACCTCTCGCGGGGTCCTGCGGGGGCCGTCCCCCTGCCCGAACTGTCCACACAAGTCCAGTCCGTCCTTTCACAGATAAATGCGCAGAATGCTCGACATTCCACAGCCCTCACACAATTGACCGATGAGATTTTACGAAGCGGGGGTCGATTAGCTTACGAAGTTGAATTGCTGCGTGGAGAAACTATTGGACTTTCGGACACCTTGACGGACGCACTACGGGGTGATATTGAGAGGTTTGTCCCGGGCGCTGTCGACAATGACAAGAATTCTGGTGTTGAGGGATCGGGAGATACTGGAGAACAGGGAGAGCGAGAGGAGACAGTCACTGTGCAGGACCCTGATTATATCACCAAACTACGAACGCTGAACCAAGTCCGGGCACGGCTGGAAGAAGTGGTGCAGACTTTCGGAGATGCCATGGAATGGCCCCTCCCGCCATCGGAGACGTCTATAACATCATCTTTTATTTCGGTGTCGGCCCCAGAACCGGGGCCTGAAAGCCACAGTCGTGAGGAGAAGGGCCAAGAGGTGGCTAAGAAGCTGCGAAAGGAAGTGACCGAGCTTCTAGATAGCAATGGTGGCGGGCAGGAGGGGATTGACGCTGCCTCACAACGTGTTGAGTCGCTACGTACATTGGCACTTGTCTGGAAGGGCACGGCGGAGGAGAAGGCCCGAACTCGGTTCGTAGACAGCCTGGCTAAAATCGTGGAGGACCGTCGCAAGGCCCTAGACAATCAGGGCCGAACCGATCAGTTCCAGCAGCCGTCCGGATCGTCTACGAAGGGACCAACAACGGGCCATCGGCGGCAAGAAAGCGAAGGACCGGGGGGTGGCATCTTCCGCAATCTGCAACGGCTACGTGAAGAGATATACCTGGAATAAGCAAAGCTTTTCGAGGTGTATATACTATTGTCTTGACGACATATTTCCTGCCATTGAATGCATTTTGGCGGCGTTGGCATTGTACATAAGGGTTTTGTTAGTGTGCTTCTGTGTGTCTAATGTGTCTAATAGTAGTACCGTGTGCTTTTCTTCAGCCCCGGAAAATTATTTGATAGGCGGCTTATCCCTTTAAAAAAAAGATTCGGTAGTAGCTAACCGGCTCAACGGGCCTGGGGTTCATGCAGTCCATACTCGCCTATCAGGCGCTCTTGGAACTACAAGGTGTCTAGTAGAAGCACCTGCTTCGTAATCGTTTGTTCTATTCATGCAATCCGAAGCCGTAGATGGAACACGATGCGAGATGGCAATCGTCCGGGCTGCATGGTTTGTTATGGACGGGGGGATCTAGGTCCAAAGTAGATTGGGCAATGTGGAGTCATGCATAGGGAGACGTCAGTTCTCGACGTAGGCGGAAGATAGGGTCGGCGATGGACTAATGAGCAAGCAATCTGAAACCACCATTTGATTCGTGCCAAGACGTGGAGGGCACGGGCAGTATGGATGTGCAGTCTCGATGACGCGGCAGATCCAACGATGGCGTTTTCCGCTGAGTAACCAACTGCGTGGGCTGAGGCGAGCAATTCGAGATGGAGGGCATATACCTGAGAACCGATGTACTGATCTCAACATGAGGATAAGCTTTGATGGCCCGGCAAGAGACCAGCGAAGTGCTGCAGGGCAGGAGGAAAAAGAAAACAAAGACCACGGTGGGACACAAACGGGTGCAGGGAGCGATACTCGCACATCGCAATACCGACGGAGGTCAGGGCCGGGAACCAAAGGGGAAAAGCGAGGAGTCCGGCACAGACTATCCATGATCCATCCAGTCGATTGAAATCCGCAGAAAGAGAAGAGGAGGGCAGACCAATGGCCGGACAGCTGCTCTCCCCCAGTCCCTGGCTGGTCCCACACGCCGACGTAAATCCTCGCCCAAACCGGTCACTTTCCTGTTGCTGAAGTGGTCTCCCGCCCGGGTCGACCTTGACTACTCTCGCTCCTCTTCTTCGCGTTTTGTGTCCGCGTGGCATGGATCTCTTCCCCGACACTGGCTCTTTCTTCTTCATCTCGTTGCTGTCGTCACCATTGACTGTTGTCCTTTCTGCTTCAGCATGGCGCCTAGTAACCCCATTGACTTCTCTTAATCCGATATTCCCCCGTCAGCTTTGCTGCTCTTCCTGATCGCATGTCCCGCTTGCAGGAATGCTTATCGTTAGGAAGACACTCTTCTACATTGGCTAAATCCCAGCGGTTCTTGTCTAGTGAGCACGATCTGACGTTGAGTCGGATCGTCCGTCCACCGCTGCTGAGCAGCGGTACTCTAATCTAGTGTCCAAGCAAAGTTCCCACTTCCACTGCTTTCAAGGATGTCCTTCCAGGGCATCCTAGACGGCCCATGGGCCGATCATTATCACACGGCGCGGTCGTCAATGACGATGCTATGGCAGCAACAATTTCATCCTCGCCGTCTAAGAGCTCGCCCGGTTAGAACTTTGGTGATTCTGGCCGCCACATGCTTCTTTACCCTCCTGTTGCTGTCGCGATCTAGCCAAGTATGTCTACTGCGCAATTTTACTGTCTTGAGGAAGTGGTACTGACGGAGCGCTTCTGTTACTAGCCACATGTTAGCTACTGGTTGAGATACCCATCATATCCCCCCTCGCGTGAGCGCCCGGAAGACTTGCCAATGGTCTTCACTTCCGAGGGTCATACGTTGCGTCGAAATGATAGTCTTTCGAATAATTTGCAAAAGTCAACACCGTCTTTCCACCTACTTATACCCGCTTCGCAAAAGTCCGCCTCACTCTGTCGCACGTTGACGTCGTCAATGATACTGAACTACCCACCGCCCACGTTGATTAGTTATGGCAAGTCGCCTCCGAAGGGTTACACAGACTATGCTGCCATGGTGGACCGTATAGCCGGCATATACAATTATCTGGCGTATAATCCACAGATAAAAGATGAGGATCTCGTCCTTATTGTTGATTCTCAGGACGTGTTTTTCCAATTACCCCCCGAGGTTTTGATCCAGAGGTTCCAAAAACTCCTCAAGGAGAACAATGAGAAATTGCTCAAAAAATATGGTACCGTGACTGTCGACAGGCCGTACCGTACAGGCTCGCAGGAAACGATACAGAAATATTCTCAAAGAGTTCTGTTTGCGGCGAGCAAAGAATGTTTCCCCGGGCTCACCCTAGATGCAGGGTGTGTGACAGTCCCGGAATCTAGCCTCCCACCGGACGCTTATGGGTGGAAGACGGATATCCACCCACAAGGGCATCTGAATCGGCCGCGCTGGCTTAAACCTGGCGCAGTTGTGGGCCAGGCAGCTGACCTCAAAATGATATACGCCGAGGTTCTGCGGTTCGTGCATCAACACCGCAATGCACGGGGCGATTATCTAGCTATGACGCAAATGTTTGGTCGACAGGAATATGTGCGGGAGCTGGAAAGGCGGGATTCTGCGAATGGGTTCATGGAATGGCTCTACACACTTGTAGGCATCTCCGATGCTTCCAATATCACTGGGGCTACCCAACCGCATCTCGAGTCCGGCACCCGATACGAATATGGCATTGGCGTCGACTATGAATCCCGTCTGTTTTTCAACATGCGCAATGCCAAGATGGATGTCGAATGGCTCCACTACAACAACGTCACCAAGACTTCGGCAGTGCAGATGCAGCATGGTGTCCCTAGAGAGAAACGGCTCTTGATTCCCTCTGATATTACGCCTGAAAACATCGGTAACCCATTTATCCAGCCCAAATTTGGTAAGGATGATTGGCTGAACCCACCTTTTAATGAAACACTGGACAAACTTCCGAATCCGCGCAACCATACCTGGCATAACCTCCCCTTGATGACCAACATTCACTCGGCATCTGTACCGGCCCTGTTACATGTGGATGGGGATCACTCTGTCCTTGATAAGTGGTGGTCAGAGATGTGGTATCAGCCATGGGCCCGTGCCCTTCTCCGCAAGTATATGCGCACGCCGAATGGGTTCGACGCCGCCCAATCTTCCCTTCTGGGAGGACAAGAATGGTGGGACATGCGCGGTGGCAGAGGAGGTCTTTGGACCGATAAGGGGGAATGGCTGGCCTACACTGAGGTTTGTGGAAGCTATGATAAAGAGCTGTTCGATGATGATTTCGGTCCCTTTGGCAAAGAAAGTGGCGAAGACGCTGACGAGCCGGTTTACAACCGCTTCGGAAACGTTATCAAGGGCAAGGAAAAGCCTGACATATGGTGATCTATCTCCGAGACTGGCTCTTGAGAGAGAATTGCCGCGTGCCGATTTGCCTTTGGCGACATGGCTGGTGTGGGCTTACTGTTTATCCAAACATAAAGCCCATTGTTCATTCTGCATATTCCATTATAGTGTGAAGCTGCAAACAGCAGCAAGAATCTGCCATCACTTATGGCCGTGCATATCTACATGGTGTTTGGGGTTCATTTGTTATCGATTTTGGGCGAAGTGGATCTGATGGGATGCCTTTCCATATGTGTTTAGCCTTGCCCTCCGTGCTTTGCTGGTTTCATCGCAGTCAGGCGTAAAGGCTATCTGTTCTATTGTATGATATTCCTTCTTGAGTCGGGATGCAGGGGTATCTACGGGATACTCATTATATACCAGGGTCTGTATAGAATAGATAGAATATGCTACAATTAGCTTCTATTACATGCAACGTAAATGGCCTGAACCGGAGCTTGTAGCTGAAGAAGGCTATTTTCTTTTCTTGAACCTTAACGTCTCAGAAGAGCCTTCAAGTATCTGGATCTCACTAGTATAGCTAATTAGTATCATTTTCAATAATAAAAATCTGCTTTATTCTCATAAAACAAGAATATTGCTTTCTTCTTTTACCGTAGAATATTATATAATGACTTGCACCTTCCTAGTTAGTATGGTTTTACCAGCAAGTATAAGTAGTATCTAGTACTATTTAGTAGACGGGCCCTCCTCGTTCGTTCCAATACAATCAACAAAATCATCACCATACGAGTCACCAAGTAGCTGCTACAATGACCCCCATCATTCATATAAAGCACCAACAAGTTAAGCCTGGTAGTCAGTCATAGAACAGTGGTATATATACCGCATAGAATTTCTATCCCTCCTCATCCACCCCCTCTCCCTTCCTCGACCCCAACGTCTCCCGAATAATCGCCAAAACATTCGTCACATCCTCATTACTCAGTCTCTCCTCGCGCTCCTCAATAACTGTATCCAACAGCGCCAACGCCCCGTAATCCTCTTCTGGTATTTCACCGTCCCCTCCTTGTCCTTCCTCAGCCCCATCCACCTCCATCATCCCGTTCGTCTCCTCCCCACCATTACCATGATGTTCTGCACTCTCATCTTCTTCCCCTCCCTCACCCATTTCTTCACCTTCTTCACCTTCCGTCGCGGGCGCATGTAACCCCACCCCCAGGTTCACGATCATCAGCACCTCACCCTTGGTTAGCCCGTAGGGCTGTAATCTAGTGACGAGCTCTCGGAGCGCATGGTCGAGGGGTGTGGGGGCGTTGATCTGGGATGGGGGGATTGCTGTGGTTGTCGTCGACTGTGACTGGGCTTGTATTTGGGCGGGGGAGAGGTGGGTGTACTTGGGGTACTTGAGGAGATGGGGAGAGAGTCGTGTGACGTAGTTGTGGATCTAGAGTTTTGATCAAGAGTCAGACTTTTTGGTTTGTACATGTATGCTTGCTGCAGATTTAGTTGTGGAGAGATTAAGAGGGTGTACTCCGCGGCTAGGCACGAGCCAGCCGGCCAGCCAGCCAGCTAGGCATTGTATCCAGCCACGCATAGCTGTTCGACGGAGAAAGCATAGTGTGTGACTTTGCAACAAGGGGATGCACACCTCCTTAACAACGGTATTGTGGTCTCGTAGATCCGGGCTGGGAACCCAGTTTCTTGAGTTCGGCGGCGGGTTCGGTGGTCGCCGTGGTGGGTTGGCCGTTAGATAGGCTAGGACCTCTATGTTGGTGAGGGTGGCGGATTGGGGGTCGACAATCTGTTTTCGCTACTTAGTATGGTATACTACAGCAAGAGCAATTGAATCAAGTTTACCCTCATTGTGACGGTCTAATTGTGCAGATTGAGGGATATTGGCTGATTGATAGGTGGATAATGCGATGCGGAAAAAAAGTGCTGGAATGCGGGGCGGAGAAGGAAATGGACTGATTCTGCCCGGCAAAGATGGAAAAGCGGTGAGAGGAGCTTTGGAGTATTGATATTGGTGCAGGCGGGAGGCTTTCAATCCAGTAATTCTCGAACAAAGATAAGGATTAGAACTATGTAAACATATCCTCTCACGCCATGTACATGCTCTTCCCCACTGGTCTTGGCTGGACATTCCGGCTGGCCTCAAACGCATACTGATTGCTCCAGTCCATTGCCTCTTTCTCCAGTGATTCAATGTCGACTCCATTTAGCATGCCCGTATCCTCCTGTAGATCTCTCAACACATCTAATAGCCAGGTCCGGCATGTTCTGTATTCGTTGTCGTTCAGGTATCCGTCGTAGCTTCGGAAGACACGTTCTAAAGTCTCCTGCGCCGAGGTAGTGGATTTTATGGTTGCAATTTGTATCAGACCCACGAGGAGGAAGGCTTTGAGGATACCAGTGCCTGACTCGGGGCCATGTCCGGCCATCCAGCCGTTCCCTTCGTTGGTGATGTGGTACTTGGTGCTGCTGTCGATGCGGTGGTGGTAGGGCGCCCAGTGATAATCGTTGGGTTTAGGAGGATCATCACGAATGAAGAGCGCAATGTAGAGCGCGTTGGGATCCATTTTGAGATCCAAAACCCACATAGAGAGCACTGCGGAAATTAAACCTGATACGGTTAGGAAAGATCTTACCAGATCCATGATGCTATAGCAGATATACCATATGCAGGGGGTCAGCGGCTGGCCTGCTGCAGGCAGGTGCAGCAACCTGCAGGCAGTGAACGTAAAGCAATCATTTTACCTCTTATCTGGATTCATTAACGCGCTCGAATGGCACCACCACCATCTTGGAATTACAGTCTCAAATTCGCCATGGTTTAGTTGCTTGCGTCCTCAACTATAGTTTCTGAGAGTTGGCGGTTAAACCATCACATTAGATTAAGGTGAAACTAGGCTAGTTGAGGGATGCATGAGATAAGGGGGCAAAGCTTAGCCAGCCAGCATTTGCTCTTGCAGGCTTGCAGCCTTGCAGGATCTGGCCTACTAACTAGCCTGTTCAACATAAAGTCGCCGGCACTAATGCTAGGGCTGATCGCGTCGACACAACGGAGCTGACTGCAGACGTCCAAATAAGCTAGACAGGAAAAGTCAAATGCTAGACTTGTGATAAACTGAATCATGAGTCCTGTACCTGTCCACCACCCGTGTCTTCCGGCATCTTTCGCATGCTCGACAACCGCTGCTATGAATCGACTCCATCCGGCCCGGTGCAAGCGAGACCTTGAACCCTGAACCACCTCCAGAACAGACATGTCTACCAAGTTGGTGAGTGGGACGGCGAGACCCGGCCTGGACGGTGAATAATCATTTGTCAACCCTCACTCATCTGTGTTTTTCGCCTGTTCAACCGCCAAGTTTTTGACCGAAATTGATTAAGATATCCACTTCCAAATTGTGCACCAAAAGCTTTCATATCCACTCTCCCTTAGAAACCTGGCTTTGTCAGGTTTTTGAAATCCGTCTTCTTCGCACTAAAAGCGGCTGGCGCTTTTACGGGATCCACTGAACCCAAAGTTCGATTGCCAATGATAAGGCAATGTTGCAGATGGTCTGTCTTCGGCTACCCACCTCATCGGGTCGCCTATGCAATAATGGCATCTGCAACGATCAGATAACAGCGAATGAGGAAACGATCGTCATCGGGGGTCCCACTGAAACGAGAATATTCTTCGACATGCAGAGTGTGAATGAGGGAACTGGTTAGTGGGACTTGCGAGCAACATCGGACGGATTTGGTACGGATTTAACGGAAAAACGGTTCTCTTTTGACACAGCCGGGTATTTCCTTGAGGAGCTAGCAAGTCATTGACTAAGTGGAAACGAAGAAGGCAAAATGGCGCGTGCCGAAGAAAGAGCTTTTCCGGACCCTTCGGGGCCCCTATGGAGGTATAAAGAGACCTGACGGTTTCACCATGCCTTGATGAGTGTTTATCCTCACCCAAAAATTTCATCATGAAATCCTTCCTGCTTGCAGGCCTCATCGCCACCGGCTCCGCTATTGGGGCCGTGGCCTCTCCCCGTGTCCACGCATCGCCAAAGGGTAGTTCGTATGACTACATCATCGTGGGTGGAGGACCGTCTGGTATCATCACTGCCGAACGCTTGATTGAGGCCAACAAGACTGTGTTGTTGTTGGAGAGAGGCTATGGACCTACTGTGGCTACTGGATCCAACGAAACCCTCGTCTGGAACAAGACATTGACTGCGGTTGACCTGCCTGGACTGTCTGCCGATATTGGTAGCCTGCCTCAATGGGAGGAATACCTTTGCTCTGATGTCGCTGGATATGCCGGTTGCGTGCTGGGAGGTGGTGTGACCTTGAACTACATGGTCTTTGTTCACCCGCCGGACCGTGACTTCAACGATAAGTGGCCCAAAGGATGGAAATGGGACGACGTGAAGCCTGCTGCAGACAGGCTCTATGAGCGCAACCCCGGAACCATCTTGCCCTCCGCTGATGGCAAGCGCTACGACCAGGGTCTCTACAGCGTCCTGTCCAACTTCTTCAACAAGATCGGCTGGAAGTCCGTTGACATGATTGCCGAACCCAACGAGAAGCACGAGGTCTACAGCTACCCCGCCTGGAACATCAAGGATCAGATGCGTGCTGGTCCTGTCCGCACGTACTTGCCCTTGGCTGAGAAGAGCCAGAACTTCAACCTCCGTCTCGGCACCAAGGTGCTCCGCCTCCTGCGCGCCGGCAGCCAGGTGACTGGTGTGGAGGTCGAGAACTCTTTTGGCCGTCGGGAGAACATCACCCTGGCATCCAATGGAAGAGTCGTCCTCTCTGCCGGTGCTCTCTCCACTCCTCGTATCCTCTTCAACTCCGGCATCGGACCCAGCTCCCAGATTGAGATCGCCCAGAAGAGCGGCGTGATCGTCCCTCCCAAGAAGGACTGGATCAACCTTCCCGTTGGTATCGGCGCTAAGGACCACCCTATCTTCTCGATTATCGTCAAGACCAACGGCACCAGCTACGGCCTTCCCGACTACGACGCCATCGTGAACGGCTCCGATGTCTCCGACATCAGCCTCTACGCCCAGGGCAACGGTCTCCTTACCGAAGGAAAGCACCGCATGATCTTCTTCACCTCCAACGTCGTTGACGGCCAGAAGCGCTACTACCAGGGCTCTTGTGCCCCCTCCGACACCAACGTCGTCACCATCACCGCTTACATGACCCACGGCCTCACCTCCTCCGGTGTACTCGGCTTGGACACTGATGGCACCACCGTCTGGGACAAGTCTCCCTACCTCCAGACTGCCGGTGATCGCGCTGCCGCTACGGCTTTCCTCCAGCAGATCGTCGGAGAATTGACCGCCCCCTCGACTGGATTCAAGCTGGAGACTTACACCAACGTCTCCTCCATCCTTGGCAGCCTTAGCCCTGGTATGCACTACACTACCACGGCCAAGATCGGTACGGACGATGGCCGCTATGGCAACGGCACCTCGGTCGTTGACCTCAACACCAAGGTCTATGGCACGGACAACCTGGTATGTACATCTCCGCTGCTGCTGTGCTCCTCATTATTGAGATCATTTTGCTAACTTGTATCCTGTACAGTTCATCGTCGATGGCAGTATCCACCCTGACCTGCCTACCGGTAACATCCAGGCTACTATCATGGTTGTTGCCGAGGCTGCTGTTGCTAGGATCCTTGCTCTGCACTGATCTTGCAATCGTCATCATGTTTCCTATAGCCTAGCTCCTTGTAGTTCTACTAGGAGCTATGGAATAACCTTTTCATTGTATTTCTACGTTCATGGGATAGACTAATCTAATGTGATCAATAATGATGATGATCAATCAATGAAGCATTGTCATTCTTGTATACTATCTTCCTTTTTCACAACTAAAATGGCCGTTGGAGTAGGACAGGTAGACAGTAGCCTCTTAGCACTTGGATTGGCTCTGGAAAAGGGCGAAACTAAGCAGCGAGATGTGGCGAATACTTCCAAAATGAGGATGACAGATAGGAGGCAGTGTTTGTAGCGTCACCTAGTCCGCTTGCTATGTAGAGAAATATTGAATTATCCTCATTGAATTCACTTGAATCATTGTAGTCTAAATCAGAGGGAAAGGGACCTGACTACAGGCCTCCCACTGCTCAAGCCACAATGAGCCTTTTGATCCGTGTAATCGAAATAAACCTCCTGTGTGATCTACTGTAACTTTTATTGACCAGTAGCCATGGTTATTTATCAGTACAAGTCCAGCTGCATAAAGACCGGTCTAGATAGCATCTATCAACCATTACAACTACAGCCAAACAGCTAAGGAAACATTACTACCATTGGAAAATCCAACTCAGAAAGAACATTATTTCTGGAACTGAACTGCCTTATACCAACAAGCACCTCTGCGCCAGGGGATGATAGTAAGATCCATCCATCAAATGCCACCCAAACATATAATCTTCAAGTAAATAGCAACAGAGAGAGAAAAGGAAAAAGAAGAAATTCGGCCCACATGGTGTGATATCATACAGAAATTTGAAGCATTCCCATCAGGTGTGATTGTGAAACTTTTTGTTTGAGGACTTCATTCGAATTTACTCCTCGCCCTTCTTCTTCTTCTTCTTTTTCTTCTCGGAGTTGTCGACTTCGCCGTCGTCTGTCCGCTTGCGCTTCTTCTCCTCACCCTTGGCCGACTTCTTAGCCTCCTTCTTGGCCTTCTTGATGTCCTTCTTGCTGACTGCGCTGGGGTTGCCCTCAGCGTCGAACTGGATTTCTCCACGCTCAAGCTTGCGCTTGTACCGCTTGAGGCTCAGACCGGCCTTCTCGGCCAACTTCTCGAGCTCAGAGTCCTTGCTCTTCTTGGACTTCTTGTCGGTCTCCTCGTCGGACGAGTCAGACTCCTCGTCGGAGTCGGCGGCATCGGCCATCTCCTCGTCCTGAACCTCCTCTACGAGCTTCTTGCTCTTGCTCTTCTTAGCGGAAGCGGGCTCGTCACCCGTAACAGCATCAGCATCGGCGTTGTATTTGCGGGCTTCGTTGATTTCGAACTTCTGGGCCTGAGGAGCGCCGTTGGGGGCAATGGCAACACCACGAGGCTTGAGGGGCTTGCCCTCCATGGCGGCCAGCTTGCGCTCGAGGTTGTAGCGAGCTTCCGTACCGAGAGCAGCCTTGTCCTCCTCGGTGGCATCATCGTCCCACTCAGCGAGGGCATCCACACGCAGACCAAGGGAAGCCTTGGCAGCGAGAACTCTGGCCATCTTACCCTTGTTCTTGCCGGTGGCCTGGCCGATCAGGGAAGCGTGGTAGATCAGACCGTACTTGGGGGTATCGTGCTTGGTCTTGAGAGCACGGAACAGGGCCTTCTCGGCACCCAGGATCTGGAGAGTACTGGCGGGGCTCTTGGACAGGTTGGTCAAGCTACCAGCGTGGGCGATAAGACGAGCACCGACCAGATCACCGACAAGGGCAGTCAGGTTGGGGGCGATGGCGTTCATACGGGCGGTAAGGTAGCCAGCCAGTTGTTGACGGTATTCAGCGAAGCCAACAACCTGCTCGGCCAAAGCTTGAATGTGTTCCAGATCCTCCTGGCTGATCTCGGTACCCATGGAGCGGTCCGCAGCAGCCTTGACGGCACCCTCAATCTCCTCGGGGAGAATCTCAGCGAGGTCCGAAGACTCCCAGTTGGTGCGCATGCCCATCTTGAGGACGAGTCTGGCGTAGGCGATGTTGTCGTTCAAGATCTTCGCCAGCTCAGGGAAGTGCCAGCCATACCATTCCTTCACACGCATGGCGTAGTTGTTGAGCTCCTTGTCCAAGTCGTCAAGCAGACCAATGGCCTGCACAATCATAGTGTCGATCTTGTCGGGGGAGAACTTGAGCTTGTGTCTAGCGAGAGAGTGCGACAGACCAAGGGACATGGTGGACATGTCCTGAGGAAGAAGACCGGGAATAAGAGTGGGCAGGTGTTCACGAATGGCACGGAAGACGTCGGTCGTGGAAGAGTCGGCCACCAGCTCGATGGAGAGGCCAGGGAGCTTGCCAATAGCATTGCCTACACCAATTCCAGTCAGTCATACGAAAAATTTACCCTCAGTTTCCACACAACTTTGCGCCACATACCGAGCTTGGGGTCGGCGACAGCCAGAGAGACCTTCTTCTCATCCTTGACTTCGTCCAAAAGGCTGGCCAGGCGAGGAGTAACCTTTCCTTCGACGAGGGAAGCGACCTCCTCCAGGGCGGTAGCAGCGCTGTCGAACTTCTGGAAGCTCTTCAACTTCAGACTACAATTGCGGCGGTTAGCCGAAGTACAGACGCGGTGGGGGAAAATTTTTGCTTTTGAGACACCACGCGCAGATGACGGACAATCGGGGGTGAATAGAGTAAACAATGCATGAGAATGCACTTACAGGTTAGAAACACCCTCTGCGGTGGAAGCCTCAGTAGCCAGATCATCTCTCTTCAACAGCTTCTTGTCCTTGGCCTTGAGCAGGGCATAGCCCGCGCTGGTTTCCGTAAGGATAAAGAGCGTCATGGTGCACGGCCTCGACTTCTAGCTGCAATAAAAAAGATAGAGGAACAGCTAGAGGTGAGAAGGGAAAAGAAAAGGCCGGGGGGTGGGAGGGAATTGGCGTGCTGGACGGGATGGACTGAAATCCGCTGGGAATATTTTTTAACCTCAAGAAACTAAAAAGTGAAAAAAGCGAAAAGCGCCATCCGAGTGTGGCTGGTGCCGCCGCCGTGGCTGGTGCCACGCCCAGATTACGTAAGGCCCACGGGATGCCGATGCGTCGACGAGTAGTCGTCAGTCTATCAACTGCGGAGAGCTTGTACGTGGACATCTGGACTTCTGCCCATCTGCTAGCCCACCATGGAGGGTCTTTTTTTCAACGTCAACAGCGGGTATGTCTGCTTTGGTGTCGCCTTCTGTGAATTCATTTCTCCAGGTCACTGATCAAGCGTTCATAGTTATATCGAGGGTATCGTCCGTGGTTATCGGAACAGCCTCCTAACCGGCCAACACTACTCCAACCTGACCCAATGCGAGACGATTGATGGTCCGTCAATTTACAGCTACTCTTTTGCTCCCTGGATAATTCTAACACTGCCTTGCTTCTCCCAGATGTCAAACTTCAGCTCGCCCCCGCCTATGGCGACTTCCTCGCCTCCCTCCCTCCTAACCCTTCTACCTCTGCCCTGGCGGGCAAGATGACGGACAAGCTGGTCGCTGAGTTCCGCTACCTCCTCGCGCAGGCCACGGGGTCCACCGCCAAATTCCTGCAATACCTTACGTACGGGTACATGATCGATAACATCGCACTACTCATCACCGGTACTCTGCACGAGCGTGACACTCGCGAGCTCCTCGAGCGATGCCACCCCCTAGGCTGGTTCGAGACGCTGCCTGTACTTTGCGTCGCCACGAACATCGAAGAACTCTACAACTCTGTGCTGGTTGAGACGCCGCTGGCCGGTTACTTCAAGAGCAGCCTGAGCCATCAGGATCTGGATGAACTGAACATTGAGATCGTGCGCAACACGCTTTACAAGAATTACTTGGAGGACTTTCACCAGTTTGTCACCACACACCCTGATTTCAAGGGCACTCCCACGCAAGAGGTCATGTCCGAGATCCTGCAGTTTGAGGCAGACCGCCGTGCAATTAACATCACGCTGAACTCGTTTGGAACGGAGCTGTCGAAGCAGGAGCGGAAGAAGCTGTACCCGGAGTTTGGCAAGCTGTATCCAGAGGGATCGCTGATGCTTTCGCGCGCCGATGATATTGAATCCGTGGCTCTGGCTGTAAGCATCTCTGCGGACTACAAGGCATTCTTTGATGCTGTTGGCCTTACTCAGGGCGGTGGTGGCCTAGGTGGCATGGGTGGTTCGGATGGAAAGAGTCTGGAGGACCTGTTCTACCAAAAGGAGATGGAGCTGAGCAAGGTTGTCTTCACACGGCAATTCACCCCGGCCGTGGTGTACGCGTGGATGAGACTGAAGGAGCAGGTGAGTTACCGGTTCTCACGAGAACAGTTTAACATCTACTAACAATGGATCCCAGGAAATCCGCAACGTTACATGGATTGCTGAGTGCATTGCCCAAAATCAGAAGGAGAGAATTGGAAACTTCATTTCCGTTTTCTAGATACCATCTCTTGTTGTTACCCTGTCTTCGCCCGTTCTTTCTTGAACTATCCGCCAAAACATGTACTCTTTCCCCGCACCTGTTGCACGTGTGACTCTAGGGCGCTTTTGTTTCCTCTCATTTTCGCCGTGTCTAGTTAGTACCCAGTCCCTGTAATGAGCGCATAAATCGGCCCAGCATATCCATGCTAGTTGTTTTGGCTCTTCGACCTTTCCTATCTCCGACCCCACGGCGTTTTGGGACTTCGCTTCTTGTGATATAGTATATAGATAACGCCGGAATTATCTACCCTGTGACTGTGGTTGTTATTGTTGTGATATTAGGAGTAATAGAAGAACAGACGGCATTGATGCTATAGTAGCCAGCATTTTTTAGATGTATTTGTTCATAATCATGGACACGTGCTAAGCTTTCAGCCAATCTGTCTACAGAAAACGTCCAGACAGTCGAGATCCAAAGTGGAAAGCCCAAAATTAAGGGCGACACGTAGGGTGTCAGAATAAGAAAGCCCCGAGATTCTCATACAGCGTTGAATGTGTAAACATGAGCGAAGTCATGAAGAGATGGATCCAGGGGGGCGTAACTGTGCATTGGGAACACCTTGGGCGTATCTTTTTCTGCTCCTCTCAGGCTCCGTTCAGTAGATTTCGAGAACAGTGATAAATGGTATGCGATGGTATGCTTATGGAAACCAAAGTAGTATAGCAAATGTCAAAGACAATATAAAGAAATTCATCAAAATATAACCTCGATTTCGTCACTCCTTTTTCAAAAGGTGTATCTATCCCTGCCATGGGAAAGAAAGGTCGCATGCAATAGAATCAGTGAAATGGTTAGTCGTATTGGAACAGAGTACTGATACTCTCACCGTGGTGGACACGGCGAATAGCCTACAGGTCGTTAGTCAAGCCTCATAAGCAGGGCTTACCAATGAAACTTACCTCGGCGAAGACGTGACCGACTTCCAAAACCTCCAACTTAGGGCATCTGCGCAAATGATCTGCCTGGTCAACGCTGTTGGTAACCACCACCTTGTCGAGAGCGCTTGCATTGATCCGATCAATAGCATCTCCGCTCAAGATTCCGTGGGTGACCAGAGCATAGACCTGGGCAGCCCCTTCCTTCTTGAGGAGCTTCGCCGCTCTAGTGATGGTGTTTGACGTGTCCGCCAGGTCATCGATCAGGATCGCCGTCCGATCCTTGACATCTCCCACCAGCATCATGGTAGCGTTCTGTCGATCCGTTATACGAGTAGGACGACGTTCCTGAAAGGGGTCAGTGCTACCATGTAAAGAAGTCATTAGGCCGAATACCAACCTTGTGAATAAGGGCGAACTCGACGCCCATGCTGTCGGCAATCGCCGTGGCACGCTTCGCACCACCAGCATCAGGACTGACGATAACAGCCTGCTTGTAGTTGGGGATGTTCCGCTGGATGTAACTCTTGAGGAGTGGGCGGCCGTACAAGTTGTCAACCGGAATGTCGAAGAATCCCTGGTACTGAGGGTCATGGAGGTCCATGGTGATGATGTGGTCTGCACCAGCGCAGGTGAGCAGGTCCGCGACCAAGGTACCGGCCTGAGCCACCCACTGCTTGTAGCCGGGGCGGGGCTGGAAGTTGTTGATCTTCTCATCGGCGCCGTTGAGTGCGAACCGGTTACCTTCAGACTGCAGGGACTCCATGGTATCGCTGCGGGGAAGACCATTGACCGGGCGCTGCTTCTTCACAGGGCTGCCATTGCTGATGTCGTCCAATTGAGCCTTGGCCAGGCTCTTCTGCAAGTTGTCGACGCCGTTCAGACCGTTCAGAAGGCTTCCACCATCAGGCTTCCCCGGGTGTGGGGTAGGCGGGGTACTCTCAAAGGTGTAGTTGTTGCCTTGCCTCCCCGCAAGGGATGACTTGACTAAAGGAGCTCCGGTCTTGTTGTAGGGGATGTCACTCTGACGCGAGTACGGGAAAAGCGGGAGGACCGCAGTGACTCTCTTGGCGGAGGCGGTCTTGCAAGCCGAGATGGTAATCAGAAGCTCCATGAGGAGATCGTTCACCTTTCCACCACCGGACTGAATGATATAGACATCTTTTCCACGGACTGATTCTTTGATTTCCACTCGGGTCTCGCCCACGGAGAATTTCGACAGCAGAACATCTGCCGGTGGGATGCCCAGCACGTTGCAGATGGTCTGAGTCAATTGCGGGTGGGAAGTGCCCCCGATAACAACGATATTCCGGACCATATTGGACTGTTCTTCAGACTCGGAAGGCTGTGGGAAGCCGGGAGGATAGAGAGTCACAGGAGAGGATGACCGATTCGGAAGCGGGGACAAAGGAGGAAAATCTGGTAAAACGGCGGATCTGGAGGGGCGGGAGGAATGGTGAGATTAGCACGATAAAAGACGAGCTTTAGATAGGCAAAAGAAGAATAAGTAATCTCGTGGCGAGGACAGACAGGCAACTACCTCATGGCGGGGGTTCAGGAACGGGGTCCAAGCGAATGTATGGGGAAGACATTGAGACGGAGAGATCGAAGTCGTGTGAGTCCGCCATAGAGACGACCGAAAAAAAAATGCCTCTCCCGCGAGTGGAACCGGCGTTGCTGCAGTCTCGGGTGTCTGCCGTTAGGAGCCTCAGGCTGCAAATTGCCACATCGGGCTAAGAATGCCTGGTCGCCATCGACGCATTCAACGGCCCCGCAGCCACACTAAAAATGACCCGGACTTGTTCTCCAGCCTTGTCCATCCTGGAACCTGGGGATCCTCAAGTGAACTGTCGATTGAGGGAATGAAGGGGGATGGAAACCATCAATTCAGGCAATCAACATTCGGCAGCCAAAGAAACACCCAGTCGTCAATATCCTGTCTGCGAGAAAATAAAATGATAAAGAAAAAAGAAAAAAGTATTCTGCTTTCGCCTCGTCCATTACAGATGGCAGCTGGCGCATTACACCAAGGGTAGTAGTCTCCATTTGCCGGTAGGTACATGGAAACTAAATGTAATAGGAAAAAATCCCAGAAGCAACAAGGAAACAGAAAAGGCTGGATTTCCATTCAGTCCTCCGTATTCCCATCGCCCAGGCCGAGATACCCAGTTGTAGTTAACTAGTAGCCCTGGAGTGTCACATTACAACAGAAGCCATCTATTGGCTTGTTGGAACTACCTGTTCAATGTCTGGTCAGCAACACGTCTCCTTATGAGGTGCTTCGAGCTCGGTATGTGGATGAGCTTCGTTCAAAGGGTGGGGAGGAATTTGCTCACAGATCTACTTCTTCGGAATGGCCATACTCACATGGTCACCGGATGAATAGCCGCAAGACTATCAAGCTGACTGTAATAACTGGAAGTCAGTTAACTAGGTTGTATGTTCATGTCAGCCGTAGTCTGTAACTTGTTAAGGAGCAGATGAAAACCAAGAGCAAGAGTTTTGTAGTCTTTTTGTGAGCCAGCTGTCACTGTTCTGCTGAGCACAGTTTATTGTTGTTGCTACCCCTTAAAACCCCACTCTTCCTCATCAAAGACATCTCTGAAGCAGAGAGAGACTAACCTGTTTTTGACCCATGGACTGTAACCCCTGCTCATCTATACCAAGATTCTCATGTTTCACTTCTCTCGAGGGCCGACCGTGGGACTTCGGCTTTTGTCACCAAAGCTCACCTCTGGGAGCCTGGTCCCGGAACGTAACAACGGCCACTGATAAGGCAACGAAGTTGGGCAATGCGTAGGACAAGCGTCTAAGCTTAGGAGATGCAACAATAAACACGTGACGCCGTATCGCAGAGGCCCGACGATGGGGGTGAGACACCTAAGCCGTAAGGGGACTAGACTGAAGAACGCCGATATTCCGCGGAGAGAGTGCCGAAGCTACATGACAGACATTATGGCCTCACGGGTTAAGAACTTCAGCGTGTCTCTCAATTAGCGCATATAAATGTGACCGTCTCTCGAGAACTGAACCTCAATATCGCCCTAAATGCCGAGTCGCCTTATATTACGGCGTCCGTCCCCGACGACCGTATCATTCACAGTTTCCAATGCCTCCAGGCGCACAAGCACGCCCGCAAAGGCCCTTTTCTACCTCCAAGTTCTGTTGCGCGCAGTGACCTTTCTTTGTGTGCTCCTCCTTGATGCTGCGAAATTCCGCCGTGCGGTTTTTATGGAAGATGGTTCATGGATACGTTGGACAACAATTTGGTCGAGTTCACTGGGGATATCCGTCTGTCGCATCGCGGATGCGTACAGCTCTGTCGTGGTAGTGTTGGCCAGCGCAGTGGTTTTCTACGGTGTTTTCAGGAAGGGTTACACAGGTTCGTCTGAGCTGCCTCCAGCAAAGGGTCTGGCTTGATACTGACTGCACTTCGCCCCAACACAGAAGAGTCGCTCCTGGTTATACGCGGTCTCGGTATTCAGACGTCTACCTCCTCTCAGACCTACCTGTCAAAGGCTTCGACGAGGTTCATACCCACTACGCAGATTCAGGATATCGTGATACACGAAGCTTTCAAGGGCTTCGAGGTTCGATTCTATCTTGCAGTAATTGTTGAAGGTGAAAGCGAAGTGGTTGTGGTGTTTCCTGTGAGTACCTACCTAAGCACTTACCCATCGGACCTGTCGTCTCGGGTTTCTAATATGAGCCAGAAACTGTTACCAAATCGGCAAATCCTAGAGGAGGTTTGGAGGGGTTCACGGAGCTGTTTGTATGATTCAAAGTCGTGATGGAGCCCAGCTTCACGTCTGAGAGGAATCAATAACTTCGTGCTCAATGGGGACCATCATGCACATATATTCAAGAAGTATATACGGTCTTCTGTCTACTATTCCATCTTGGTGGCCTTTGCGCCATTCTCCATCCTGCGCTGCTTTGCCGCCAGCCACCTCGCGTTCTGGACTTCCACGAGCTCTGTCTTTCTCTTCTGCATGACTGGGACATAGTACCCGCCGGTTCTGGCTTCATTCGACCCAACGAAGATTTTCTTACCCCGGTTCTTTCTCTCCCAGATTGGCTCGACTCCATCACCAATAGTGAGCCTCTTGTCGCCCTGACTAACGGCCAAGTCCAGTAATGCGCCAGCAAGGATTTCCTCCATCTTGCGCTGCCTCCAAACGGACCAGAGCTCCTCTACAATCCCTCCAAGACCAAACTTTCCACCTCCCTTACCGAGGTGAGACTTGATCTGCCGAACGTCGCCCGCATAAACCCAATCCAAGCTATCAGCACGGCTGCCGCTCTTCTTATCGGGGTAGATGCAGTCCCAAAGCACCAGGGGGGCATCAGAAGCCATCTCGTAGGTTGGTTTTCGCGGGTTCTTGGTCACGTCAAGGAGATCCTGTACAATGGATGGTTCCTCGAGCCCCTGACCGACGAGGAAAAGGACATTGACCATATGTCGGACCTGATGCCACAGGAAAGCAGAACCCTCCAGATGGAAGACATATACCTGCGCTGCTGTTGGCAGAGGTGCCGCTGAAGACTCTGCGCTTTCATCCGCACCTGAGGCCGGTCTAGCCTGGAATTCCGGCTGAGTCACATAGCCCAGTGGATTGGTGCGAGCATCGAGAAGCTCAATGTCGGCACGGAAGATGTCTCGGTAGAAAGACTCGATTTGTTTCGTCACGTCCAATTTACAGAAGTTCCGGAAGTCGTGTGTCCCTTCGAAATACTTCGCAGCTTTGCGCATCGCTTCAATGTCTAACCAACCCTCTCTCAGCTTCGGAGGCTTGCCTGTTCCATCTCGCGGCACAAAGCCCGAAGCGCCCGGCGTAGGAGAAAAGGCTGGCTGCGTGAAGAAATACTTGTAATGGCGTTCCCCGCAAGAAAAGCGGGCATCGAACCCCTCAGGAGGACGCGGGCACCATGCCAATACACGAATATCCTCAGGAAGCACCTTGTTCAACATGCTCACGTAGGGTAGCTCATCTTTGATGTCGTCCCAGCCATCGTCGACCGAAGCATTAGCCTCGTCCGTATTCTGCATGGTGGTATCGGCGTTTTCGTCCGACTGCACAACCTCGTCGCGCTTCGGCCGTGCACTCCGCACTCTAATGCCAATCACTTGCCCGAAGGCACTGACTCCTCGGTCCGTACGCCCAGCCTTGGAATATTCACATCCATCCCAATTGATATAATACGGCTTCGTCTCTCTCGGCGCATAGCTCTCCACGAATTCATCACCGGTTGTATCCGTCGGGAAAATCAACCGCGTCTTCCGTAGAGCCTTGTACATCTCCTCCTCGATCGTAGGTAGCGGCGTGGCATTCCCGTTTGCATGCTCAAGCCCATTGTACCGCTGTCCAAGGTAGGCGAACTTCAACGCGATGAACCGTGTATTGTATCTCGACGGATCAATTTCCCGGCGCGGTTTCGGCGGCTTTGGCGGCTTCACCTGCTTCTTCTTCTCCGCTCCCACCGCAGGAGATGAAGGCTCCTTCTGGTTCACTTTCCCATCACTCGGTGCACTCTTGGCAGCGTCTTTGGCCGCGTCCTCGGGCTGCTTCGCAGGGGATGCAGCGTACTCTGCTGTGCGGGAATGTAACTGGCGTTCTAGTTCAGTGATTCGGGCAACAAGTCTCGACGTAGTCCATGTTGAATAGTCGGTTTCGTGGGTAGGGACTTGTTGGCCCTCCGCTGTGTTCCCGGACATGGTACTTGTAGGTTGGGAATCAACTTGGGCGTGCGAGCGGGACAGGGACTGGAAGGTTCGTCTTGTTGAGGGTGTGCGCTGTGCAGATGTACGACTCAAGAAAGAACAAAGGTTTCCTTGGAACCTTCGCATCCCTATGAGCACGTTGTGTGTCTCCCACGCTGCTGGGTTGCCGCGGAGGGGAGATTTTTGCGGCAAAAATTTAGACTTCTGATAGTACTATTGGTGGTGATTGGGTAATGGAAGCGTATGGTATTGTTACCTGGGTGGTCGTGGCAAAATTCATGAGGTATAATTTGTATTACGTGGTAACATGGCAGTTGTCACCAGTTAATATTTGACGTATCCGTCAGTTGTATAAAATTATAAATAATTTCACATTTCATCTAAGACATCTCTTTCAGGAGAAGGTCAGGGGGATCCCAATTGGAAAGGCTAGAGCTCAAGGTTGCGGTCTGGTTCCGCTTTATATCCGCACGTTATCGTGAACATTGCAGCAGCTAGTCGGTGCAGCAGTGCATCGAACATCGAACCCTGCTTTCATGCCATTAAGCACATGACAATACTTTAAATGTGTCTGGAAAAACGCCAATATATATCACTTGGTCAGATATAAAGTCCAGACAGTACCAGAAATCCGTGTCCAATGGCGGGAAACCACCTTGCGCAAGATGAACAGATAGTGACCATTCTGCTCCTCGGAGACCCAGGATGTGGAAAAACGACATTCCTATCGTAAGTGCAACAGCTCTTAAGCACGTATTGCCTTATATGACATATTCCGTATCACGTAACTAGTGTTATTCATTAACAACCAACTAGGAGCTTGAAATCCAATCTTCGTAGATACCAAGGTCAGGGACACAGTCAAGGGAATCTTGATCGAGAAACCCTCCTACGAGACAGTGATCAGCCATTTATCTACGAGATCCGTTTCTCCAAAAGGTCATTCACACTTGAAGTATATGACACCGCGAGTCCCAACCAACATTGGTCTACCTTGCAGCCCGACGTTATACTTCTGGCATTTGATATTTCGAACAGAGATACCTTGAACAATCTTCGAAATGTAGGACATGTTCCTCTGTTGTGGCGGCTGTGAATACTGACTTCCATGCCATAGTGGCGAAATGATATCACCAGATACTTCCAGAATGGATATGGCGAACGCATTCCCATTATGTTGATTGGGTTGAAGAGAGACCTGAGGGTGGAAGGTGATGGTATCATATATCCTCAAGAGGTGAGTAGACCATTTCTATGACCATGGAAAGTCTATCTGTGGCACACGCAGGCTTAGAGCTAACTGATATTATATAAAGTCGTATCGGATTGCGCAGGAACTTCGATGTGATCGGTATGCGGAGTGCTCTGCTGTCACTGAGGAACTCTTACCAGAGACGTTTGAAGATATTGCCCGGCTTGCTGGAATGACGACCACGGCGGCTGGGGGCCAGACTGCTGGAGCTTGTGTTATTCTTTAGTAAATGTGATACCCTCATTCCAGCTAACAATGGAAGTAATTTAGACATGCGATATGTTCATTAAATTTGTTAGCTATATATTAATCGTGCATCATGCCTGATGATGGCTGCCAAAAACTTCCGAGTGATACGTGACGGCACTAGCACCATTAATATGATCATGGGCGTCTACTTTGTTCTTTATGACCTACGTCTACTGTCGACTACTACTAGAGACCACACTTATATATGGAGAATAATGGTAGCTAGCATCACTTTTCGATTACGGCTATGATAAACATACAGGGAGAAACCAAGGTAACGATTAAGTCCACCTTGTGAAATTGACAGCACAGGGCTTTCCCCCAGAAGCTCACTGAGGCAAGAGAACAACTGGATATCTTTCCCTCATAAGCGCCAGTCAATCATTGACAATGCAATTCCTCCCCGATGCACCATAAGCGGAACGTGAAAACGGACTGCAGAAGGAGACTTCGCTGTAGCATACCACGAAAGAAGAAGTAGGAAGATGATGTTTTGAAGTAGTGAAGCTCCCGTTGATTCTTTTCCTCGTTTTTTCTTCTTTGTCTTTTTGGAATACCTGAACTGAGACTAGGATAGACACGACAAGGGATTTTGTTTTCTTTCATTGCAAGGAATCGCGTAAAAGTCGTTCCTTGATGATCAAGGGGTCCTCGTCACCCTCAACCAATCGCCATTGTTTCGTCAATCCTTGTTGCCAAGTCCAGATGTTTACCACTTAGCCTCGGTGGGCTGGGCCTCAGCCCAGCTCTCACCAGCAGGAGCGGCAGAGCTGGCAGCCCAGTCGCCACCCTCGGCCTCCCAGCTGGCAGCACCAGCAGCAGCGCTAGCAGCAGCGAAAGCAGTGCCAGGAACACCGGCACCGGCACCGGCAACATCCCAGTTCTCACCAGCGAAGCCGGACTCGATGGCACCAGCACCGACCTCCTCAGCGCTGGCAACCTTCTCCTCGACGACCTCCTTGTTCTCCTCAGCCTCGGGGTCACGGTAGAAGTACAGGTCGACAACGACGTCCCAGTCAACCTCACGGGAAGCGAGGGTACCACGGAGGCGGAGGACCTCACGGGCAAGGAGCCACCAGACGAGACCGATGGCGTGGCGACCCTTGTTGTTGGTGGGGATAGCAACGTCAACGAAGTCGGTGGGGGAGTCAGTGTCGCAAAGGGCAATGACGGGGATGTTGACGTAGCTGGCCTCCTTGATGGCCTGGGCGTCGGTGCGAGGGTCGGTGACGATGATCAGGCGGGGCTCCTTGAAAGAGCGGGTGATGTAGTTGGTGAAGTTACCGGGGGTGAAACGACCAGCAATGGCGGTAGCACCGGTGTGGGAGGCGAACTTCAGGACAGCACGCTGGCCGTAGGGACGAGCGGAGATGACACAGATGTCGGCCGGGTTGTCGATGGCGGCGATGATACGGGCAGCGAGGAGGATCTTCTCCCTAAGTTTTCGCGCGGTGTTAGGCAGCGATCCTAAATGAGTTGCGCGCAATATATTGCCTGATCAACATACCAGGTCTTGCCAATGTTGATGACATTGACACCGTCGGGGCGAGTCTTCCAGAGGTAAGGCTCCATGTGAGACTGGAGGTTCTTGGACCCGAGGTGGCACTGAGCTGCGAGGAGCATCTCAATGTCCTGGGAGGTGGGGTTGAAGATCGGGGGGAGCTGAGAGGGGGCCATGGTGGGCGATTGATATTGCAAAGATCGATTTGAGTATATCAATCGTCTGGCACTTGTCGTGGTGGTGGTGACGGGGAGACGAACGCGAAGCTGAACTTTTGGCTCCGCGCTTGAGATGGTCGATGAATTTCGCTTGCCCTTTGTGAATTTTAGGGCTAGGGTTACCTTGGAAGAGCCTCCGATCCGCCCGGATAGTCACGTGCAGCCCAGCTCCAGATGCGGACTAGCGCAATTCGGGGGCCTCGAGATTTTGGAGACTTCCAATCTGAGTCCGCGGCCTTTGATGCGAAGGCGCTCGGAAGTGTTATTTGTCAATCATTGCGGTCACTCCCTCTTCAATTCGTGAGAATGCCTCCCCGCATTCTACTCCAGCCTTCATTGAGGGCCCTCACAGGTAAATACTATCTTGTTGCTCCTCCCTCCTGATTCGCGCCTAGTAACTCACCGGGTTGTCGTTATCCCAGGCCCTTCCTCCGTGCAGCTCCCATTTGCAGCATTGTCGCTCAACCCGGCGAAAACCTCCGTAAGAGCTGGGTCTACAGAGTCTCGAGAGCGCAGACGCCATGACCCTTTCCTTATGGCGCAATCTCGCCAACGCAAGGCCGCCAACATCTCTCGCCAGAAAGCCCTCACCAAAGAGCGCGAAGGGTCTGTCGGAGACCCCGTCCAAAGCGAACCTACACCCTTTATCCAGGAACTCAGAAAGACCCAAGCGACTTTGCAGGACACAGACCTCAATTACTTCGTCACACCGGATGGTCTCAATGAGGCGATGGAGTACTCGAAGAACCTGACATCACCGATTCGGAACCCGGACCGCGACACTGCTGATCCTCAGCTCGAGAAAGAAGCGGCTGAGAAGCATCTTCAAGAACATCGGAATGCACAGGAAGCCATCCGTCGTATTGTCAGTGTCGCCAACGGAAACACAAAGGACCACATGCGGCTTCACATCCAGAAATGCATTGAGACCTTTGGCCGGCATAAGACCGACAGCGTATTGCCGCCCAAGCCATCTGGCGTATCGCATGACTCTGCGACTGTTCATCTTGAGAAAACTCCCCGCGTTGGTCCGGATACTGGCTCTCCGGAAGTACAGGTTGCCATTCTCACTGCAAAGATCATGAACTTGTCTAGACATCTCCAGACGACGAAAAAGGACCGACACAACAAGCGCAACTTGCGTCTACTTGTTCACAAGAGACAGAAGTTGCTTCGTTACTTGCGGAGGAAGGAAAGAGGTGGTCCCCGGTGGCAGAATCTGATGGAGAAGCTGGGTCTCTCGGAAGCTGCTTGGAAGGGTGAGATCTCCATGTAAATTAGCTATTTGGCGCTTGTATTCTACATATTTTCTTTTCTTTGTATTTTCTCTGCCTAAGCTCAATCTCAGCGTGTAACCTTATGTCTCGATCAAGGGTTCTTCCTGTTTTATAGTCTGTATGACAAAGAACCCGTGGGTAATCTACTATCTGCGTGATCTGCTGTGAAAATGTCTCCTGTATATATTTTATAACCTTTCGTGCCGTAACACGATGTGCCTCAGCAGATGTACTTCACTCGTCTATCATCTGTCTTACTTCTTTCATATTGCACTAGTAGTCTTAGAGTAGCAGGGTGTTCCTACAAAGTACTAAGTACAAGCCTTGAAGTTGGCCAAGGGCGGCAACGACAGCCATTGGGTAAAAGTCCCACCGCTTGGAGTTCTGCCGAGACGTCACCCCCCCGAGTCGCAAAATTCCCGCGCAAAAGTTCCCCCAAACTTCATCTACCGATACCACAACCTTGCTCGGCGAGGTAAAGTGAATGTCGTCGACTGCACCCCGGCGCTGGCTTGACGCGTCGGAACCAACACTACCCATAAACACAAGGTAACATTCACTGTAAGCCAGTGTTGTGTTTATCAACGAGTGAGTACTGTGTTTATTAACCTGCCTCTTCCCCCTCTCACTTTCTTCCCCTTCACAATCCCCATCCTTCCGTAACGTCGTCGATATTGCACTTGCGCTGCCGATTTACGTTGCTTTGATCCTTCATTTACACGATTCTTCATTCCACCGGATCATCTTATCTCGCAGGTACTAACTTGCCTTACAAGTTAGATTTAACTATCCTCTTCAACGTCCCTTTGTTCCGCGCTCCTTCAAGATCTCAAGTCGCGTTTAAGCGTGACGATCTCTCTTCTCATACCTTCTGATCAAGGTGCCGAGCTTGCCTTAAGATTACGGCAACCTATAGGCCAGCCGAGCCTCGTGTCAATTTGTCCTCACCTCTTTGTAAAGGTTTCCTACATTACGTTCCTGCTGTCCTCTCCTCATATCTCGCCCTTCTAAGTCACTCAGTTTGTTGGTGGCTTTGTTATAGGGTGCTGGATTTTTTTTTGATACCAGCCTGCATTGAACATCTCCTGCTTTTACTTTCATCACAGTCAATATGCGCACTCGTTCACAGCAAGCTTCGCCCGGTGGCTTCGTGTCACTCGACGAAAATGCCCCCCGCCGAACCAGGTCTGCAAAGAACGCTGCGCAGCAGGAACCTGCAACGTCAGAGCAACCCCCAACCCGTTCAAAGTCTCAGCGCGCACCTAAAAAGACTACTACCACTACCACTACCAAGAAATCCACGGCCAAGGCTCAGACACGAAAAGCTACTACAACCAAGCGCACGACGCGCCAGTCGACACGCAAAACCGACCAACCCGTTTCCAACGAAGATGCGCAAACCACCCATACAGAGGAGGATTTCGCCACGGATAATACGACAGCAGAAAAGAATACCCCCAGGGAGGTCCCAGAAACTGTCGACCCAACACCCGCATCATCTGAAAACGAAAATCCTGATCGTGAGTCCCTACCCCACGTTTCTCACCCTTTTATGGTCCCCCAACCCCCCAAGGAATCCCAGGAAATCGATTGTTTTGATGGTCCGGATCCCCGGGGTATCGGGGCTGCCTCGTGTCTCAAATCCCTCATCGACGAGCTAAGTAGTGTCGGCTCGCCTCTCTCTGAGAGGTCGAAGACGCCTTCCTGGACGTCGGAGGATGGGACCGAGGCAGCCCTGGCACCGCGTCCCGCGCAGGAGTCGGGCGCCACCAACGTTGAGACATCGACAACCACAGAGAGAGTCTCACTCCCGACTCCTGCCGCGGAAGAGCGCACCGTTGAGCCACCTGCGGAACCAACCGTGGCGGAGCCAAGGGGAGTCGCCATCGTGACATCCTCTGAGCAGTTCAACACTGTCTCATCGGCTTCCGCTGCGGGCTCCGGAGGAGTGGTAGTCGTCGAGGACGAGCGGGTGGGCGCACTGATTGCGTCCTTTGCTAGGTTGTCCTTGGATGATCTCGCGCCTCGCTCGTCCAATGAAGCGGCTGCCACTCTGATGGAGTCGACGACCGCGTCGTTCGGAGAGCCTGTTGAGCCCGCCCACGTCACTCGCCGAAGCCTTCGGGCTTCTCGACAAGAGTGGATTCTGGGCTGGGCCCAACAGGTCCCTTCCACGGGCTACTTCCATCCCATCACAGGGCAGCTCGTGGAAGGGCCGGCGGCGTCGGTTGAGTTGGTGGGGGATCCCGCGTCCAACCGTGGGCCCCCGACCCGTCGGATTGGGGTTCGGGACTACATCCTGCGAAGGCGACGCCGTGAGGTTCAAGTGATGTCGCCGCTGCAGGAAGAACCACAGAGTAGTCCCGGCCCCGGCTCAAGGGCTGTTGCTCTCAACGCGGTGCCTCCCCGGGGAATCCGGGCACAACGGGCACAAAATACGAAGAGGCTAACAAAACCGCCAGTGACTCGGAAGCGTGCCCGGACAGAATCGAGCGACGAAGAAGCTCCAGGCCCACAGACGCCTGCCGCAAACAAGCGGCGGAACCTTGGTCCCCCCGGCAGCACGCCGTATCGACCCGCAACCAGGCCGCGCTCGTTGACGGCGAACATTACTCCGTATTCTGAGAGACTGCGGAGACGGGCAGCCGAAAAAGATGGCCGTATCCACTCCACCTCGCTTCGCGTTTCTCAATTGCTGGCTCAGCAAGAAGCTGATCGACGCCGCCAGGCAGCAGAGTCTTCTGCGCCCCCGTGCTCTGAGCTGCCACGTACCACTTTTGATTTCTCGCTAGATGACGCTCACGAAACCAGTCAAGGTCAAGAGCAGTCGCAAAGCTTACAGGAACAGTCTTCTACGCCCCAGCCGCCGGCCACTCCGGAGCGCCAGAGTGGTTGGAACATCCGTGGTCTGCTCAACTCAGTACCTCGCACTTTCACAAGGATCCTTCCCTCTTTCAGGAGGACCCCTGAACCTACTCAAGTGCAAGGTATGTTATCTTTCGATCCAGGTTCAGTCATATAATTGATGAGACTTTAGCGCCCCCCGAACCATCTTCTGAGCGTATTAGTCGGACGCAACCCCCTCAGTCCTCAAGTATTTCTCAGAGCCAAGCCCAGAACAGCCGCCGATCCAGCGAGGAGCCACCTCAAAAGCGCCGCCGCAAGTCTTGGTCTCTCTTTGCGCAACCCTTTGATAGATCCCTCTACCTTGGGGACATCCCTAAGAAGGATTCAGCGACTTCGTCTTCTGCTCCGTTAGAGTCTCGCCCCGTTGCCAAGCTATCAGCAGAAGCAACAACACCGCAAGAATCAGCCACGTCGGACGCCAAGAAGGATGTAGCCGCGGAAGGCGAAGATTCTCGGGGGCGCGAGATAGAAGAACAGAAGCAAAAGAAGCGGAAGCGCTCTCCGTCGCCTGACGTGATTCCCAATCCTCCGGGGTGCAGTTATGGGCTGGATTTAGATTATTTCTGCTATAGTTCTGAAAGCGAAGACGAGCAAGAACCCCCGCTGCCACGAACCGAGCCAAACAAATTCGGCCGTTTAACCAGAACAGCTGTCCGCGGCGCCTTGCGCTCAGAGCGGCATTCATCGAAGAAAGTCCGCTTCGATGCGAGCCCAGAAGATACACCATCCAAACTCCGACTGCGTGCTCGTGCAACCGACCCATACCGTGGAAGACACTTCATCGGAATGGGTAATGATTCTGAAATTGCTACCCCGGACTCCCCAACCCCCGCTCCCCATGCCGCTGACGAGTCTTCAAGCCGCCGTCCTGGCTTCGTCCCAAATGTTCAGGGGACTTTCCAATTAGATTATGACGCCTTTTCAGACGATTCCGATTCCAGCGGGGCCTCTGCCTCAGCGAATGTCTCTGCCTCCGCACCTATTCCTGCACCTAGCTCAGCGACTGTCACTCAGGCTAGTATCTCCGAAAGGTACTACACATTTGTTCCTTGTTCTCCAAAGCAAAGATCGGCTAACCAGCATTTCTCTTCAGTGTGCCATCTACAGAGTCCCGCCAGACCCCACGTCAAGCGGCTCCTGCCCCGTCAACTCCTGCGAAAATTGACGAAGAGGCCCTCGCCAGAGCTCGCTCACAGGCTGAGAAATACAAGCCCAAAACTCCTAGTGGGCTTCGTACTGCAAGCAGATACTCGAGTCCTATGACTGCTACGCCTGACACAGTCTCTGCACCTGTCATAGCACCGGCAATTACACCGACACCATCCACGTCTCAAACGGCACCCGCATCCGCGCCTGAGCCCGAGCAGCAGACTACCGAAGATTTCGGGGACGATGAATTTGCTCGTGAGGCTCAGTGGCTCTATGAGAATTGCCCATCTGGAGATCTCAACGACCTTGTGTGGCCTCAGCCGATAACATATGAAGAGGAAGGTTTCAGTCCCGAGGTGATTGATCTTGTGAATGAGATTTGGGACCCCTCAACAGTCGACTATGCCTATACCAACATCTGGACACCTGGTCTCGACGCTTTCAAGCGCGAATTAGAAACTGGCGCGTCCGAAGCTGCACAAGCATAAATCGCATTCTGTGGACACAGGTTGAAGCAATAATCTGCTCTTAGCCTTACATGATGAGTACGCTTTGTCTTCGGCATAAGCTGTCGAAAACTTGACTTTGATAAACGATCATTACCGACCACGAGCCATCCCAGAGACAGTTGTCACGGGATGTGCGTATTACTGGCCAACTGCAACTCGAGCAGCCGCGGTCTTTTTCTTCCAAAGTAGTGTCATTTACTACTCTTATTCAACTTGAATGTCTTGTCATGGGCATTGTTCAATGAGCGGTCTCAAAATTAAGTGTACGAAGGAGTTTTTATTCCGCCACGTTTATCTGGTGGTCTTACAATGCATAGGCACTTGTGTATTTGAAATTTGCATTACTTTTTGTATCATTAGCATCTTAGCGGCTGAAAGCAACAAGGTTGCATTTATGTTCTTAGTTACATTGTCTATTTTTTCAATGTATCAGCTCAACTGAATTCCCATTCAAGTAGCAGTAAATTATCATAAATGAAAACGGGTCATGAGAAGAACGATGCTCTAATGACTCTTTGCATTTGAAAGAATCTAAAGATACGGACGTGGTATCAGACAACTAGATAAGATATAATGTATATACTACATGCCAATCCAATCAGACATATCAATCAGTCAAACCCCTTGAACTCATCATCATCATCCCCACCAGCAGCCTTAGATTCCTTATCTTTGGCTGCACGCCTAAGCAGTCGTTCTTCTTCGTTCTTCACCCGGATCTGCTCAAGCATCTTCTCCGTCTCGAGCACCTTTTGTCGCTCTTCCTCCGTCATCTTCTCCCATTTGTCCTTCTGCTGACGCGCTTGCTTGGCCTCCCGACGCTTCAGCTTTTTATTCCGGTTGTCGAGATTCCTGCTCCACGCGACGCTCTCGCTGGAGCGCTTCTTGCCAGCAGCTTGATCGTCCGCGACACCGTTCTCGGCATTCTCCTGCACTTGTTCCTTCCGGCGCTTCTCGCGCTGTTTGTCCTTGTATGCGTAGTTCTCCCAGTCCAAGTTCACGCCGAGCGTCCGGTCACCTTGGAAGTTTCTCAACTCGGGCATCTTGGGAAGCTTCAGGAGACCCCATGCATTGCCTAGTCCTTCCCAATCGAGGTCTGCGACGCGGAATATGCTGCTAGCCTGGTGCTTGCTGTAGCTTCGGAACCAGCTGACGAAGGCCTTCTGGCCCCTGTCGTGTAGTGCGCGGTCTGCAAGGACGGCTTTACGTGCCGTTTCGGTGGCTGCAGCGGCGTCTGCGTCGGTTATGGTGAGAGTGTGAGGATACGGTGCGACGGGGGTCTTGCGGACTTCGAGGAACGAGACGTAGTCTTCCTCTCGGCCGGGGTGAAGAAGGACCACACTCAGACCTTTGCGGCCTGCACGTCCGGCACGGCCGCATCTGTGGATGAAAGTCTTTGGGTCTGAAGGGGGGTCAATCTGTATTACGACGTCGACTGAGGGGATGTCTAGTCCACGGGAAGCAACGTCGGTGGTGAGGAGAATGGCGGGGGTGTGGGAGTTGACGAAGCGGTTGAAGTTCTTTTCGCGGACGTTTGCTTGGTGTTTGCCGTGCAGCGGGATCAGTTGGAAGTCATCGCCGATGATTGAAGGAAGGATTGCGGAGAGGTAGTCGACACCCGAGCATGTTGAGACGAACATGATGGTCTTTTGAGGAGCGGGCTCGAGTGAGTAGAGAATGTGTTTGATGGCAGGGAATTTGTGAGTTGGGGGAGCTGTGAGGTACGTCATTTGCAAGCTAGTATGGCTGTCAGTTACAGGATCTTCAATGATGGAGGAACAAGGGTACGGACCTAGCGGGTGTGCGTTTATCCTGAACACCTGAAGTGCCCTTTACCTTGACCATGACTTTGACGGGGTTGCGCAGACCAACCCGAACAATCTGATCAACAGCCTCACTGACACTGGCACTGAACAACCCCGTGCGCCGTTGCTTGGGTAGACGGCGCAAGATGTTCTGTAGTGTATCCTTGAATCCAAGATCCAGAAGCCTGTCCGCTTCATCCATGACAAGCATTTCGAAAGACGACTGGGGGCAGTGGACATGGGGTGAAGAGAGCAACTCCAACAGTCGTCCTGGCGTAGATACCAACAGATTGGGAGACCGCTTCAAGAAGGTACTCAAATCCTCAGCCGGAGTGGTCGAACCACCGAGAAGGAGCTGCGGGACAACTTTGAGGGTCGAGGAGGGGAATTTCTGACGAGGTGCATCATCGTCATCATCGGAGGGTTTGAGAGTGGAGGCGGATGGAGGATGGAAGGCGAGCAACGATGTCAGAACGTTGTAAATCTGCGATGCGAGTTCTCTTAAGCGCAACTGTCAGTACTGTGACCGTGACCTTTTCAACGGTATACGGTATGACCAACCTGGTTGGAGAGATGATGATGGCTCCGACATGGTGTTTCTTGAGTGGTTCTTCCAGGCGCAAAAGCTTCTCGACAACTGGAATCAAGAAAGACAAGGTCTTTCCACTTCCTGTGACTGCTTCAACAACGACATCTTTATGCGCCATGAACAAGGGAATCGCAGAAGCCTGAACGGGGGTCATGCGGGTGAAGCCCATAGAAGCAACGGCATCCAGCACCCATTCCGACAGGGCGGGCGTCACTCCGTCCCATGCTCTGGCGGAGGTGCCCGGGGGTGGTTTGGGGGCCATTTTAAGTATAGCTGTATTCTATAGTCCTTCCAAGTCACACCCTCGTCCCAAATCAATGCGGAATTGGTCAAAAAATGTTGCGCCGACCCGCCGTGGAATCTCGATCTTTTTTGCTGATAATTTTTCCTTATCAGAAACGCGGCGATTAGATACCGGAGGCGGTGAGAGCATTCTGCAGGTGCACACGTGATGGACCGCGGATTCGGCGGAAGGAAATCCAGTCAGCTGAAAGTTCAGCTCAGCGTCAACAAGCATCAACATTCAATCTGCAAGCATCGGTCGCCGGTGCACCTAAAGATAGGATCGGCGATTACGGATATATTATCTTGACTCTATAACTTGCGCTTTTTTTGGTGGTTATGCCGATCCTCTGCTAAGCGTGGCGCGTCTTGCGAGGCGGTGTTTCTGCCTGGTGCTATCATCTCATAGAGCCTTACACTCATAATCTACCTTATATTGTCAGGAACATCCTCTGTCGCAATAATCGCCCAAGATTTCGTCGTCAACAGTGTTCAGTCTGCCCATACTCGGCGCCTGTGCCTCCAACCCCACCCTTATCTCTCCGCGACCGCTATCCGGGCTGATCCACGGCCCAGTCCTCCCACCTTTCTCTTTACCTTCAGCCGATATGCCTTCTGAATCCGATGCCATACCGGAGACTCCTCGAGTCATTCCTCCTTCTCCGGCTCTATCTGAGCGGCGGTCAAGCTCGGGCGATTATTTTGGACCTACAACCCGCTCCGCGGCACGACGACAGCGACTGGGGGAGGTAACGGAAGAAACACCTGATAACTCAAATTCGGATTCGAAGCGCTCACGCGCGCGGTCTCGTAGCCCAAGTTCTCCAGAGTCTACAAGGCGCCGTAACCGAAAATCCAACCCCAAGTTGCCCGCTGGAAAGCCCAAGAAACAGACGAATGGTCATGCGGAGTCCAACGGGTATCTATCACCTGTCGCGAAACCCGGCGGCAGCTGGCACGACATCTCTCGATCTCCTTCTCCTCTCGGTCTCATACCCCTCCACAGCCGCTATCGCTCCTTTATCCACCGTCATGAGATTCCGCGCAAGCTCCTCCATGTATCGATCGGCTTCCTAACCCTCAACCTGTACAGCCGCGGCATTCAGACTCTCCAAATTACACCATGGCTCTTCGGAGCTCTCGTGCCGATCGCCACAGTAGATATCATCCGTCACCATTCCAGCAAGGTCAACAACTTATATATTCGCTGCGTTGGGGCTTTGATGCGCGAGACAGAGGTTTCCGGCTACAACGGCGTGATCTGGTACCTTGTGGGTACATATGCAGTACTGCGCTTCCTCCCCAAAGATGTCGGAGTTATGAGCGTGCTGCTCCTCAGTTGGTGTGATACTGCAGCCTCCACATTTGGTCGTCTCTACGGCCGTTACACATTTCAGCTGCGCAAGGGCAAGAGTTTTGCCGGAACACTAGGAGCCTGGTTTGTTGGCGTTCTGACCGCCGCCGCATTTTGGGGATACTTCGTACCTTACATTGGAACCTTCCCCAATGATCCCGAGGGGTCATTCATGTTCACCGGTCAGCTTAACCTTCTTCCTAGCTCGATCAAGAACCTCATCGGCTGGAATGCGGACACCCCCAACGCCGTTATTTCGGGCCCGTTGGCCCTCGGCGTCATGAGCGTCGTCTCCGGCTTAGTCGCCGCTGGAAGTGAGTTCGTGGACATATTCGGTTGGGATGATAACCTTACTATACCGATTTTGAGCGGTATCGGATTGTGGGGTTTCCTGAAGGTCTTTGGTTGAGAGATTTACTGCAGCTCATGCCGTTATACCTCGTTATACCTCTCCGTTCTTGTTCATTGTCACAGCACTGTTATAGCTTGGATGGTCACAAAAGCGCGCGACAAACCGCGAGCCGCAGTATCGACGTGTCATTCATTTCAAATCCCCTTTTTCTTTTCTCTGTTCAATCACCTACTTATCCTGTCTATCTCCTATACATACGCCCGATTACCCCATGACCAATCACATCACCACTCTTCTTCTCTTTGAGCTCTCGCACGGATACCTCCCTGATTCGCACCACTGTCAAGGGAAAGACCTTGGAAATAATTAATTCGGCCCGCAGAAGGACTTTTGTTTACAGATTACTTAGATAGATATCCTGGATCGGCGTGGCTTTGGCGCTTGCAAATCTACACAAACACACGGGCTACTAATCCCTTTGTTTTCTCTATAGATGTTGTAATGACGTGCAGTGACAACGCTCCTGATGAGATCTGATATGTTCAGACTTTGATGTATACCGATGACTTGTATGCCGGCGTAAAAAGAAAAAATGTTTGACTCTCAATCGAGACCCAGTAGTATTACACCTGTAATGCATGTCCAAGAGGGTAGGATCGTGCAAGAGCTGAATTCACTTGTGGAAAGGACCAATGCATAATTCTTTCAAAGCTGTTTAGGTCAAGTCCAAGATGCTCACACGGGCGATTCGCTTTTTCTTACTGCGACTGCCCCCAGTGTCAGTCACCTTTGTAGCCTCTGTCGATTTCGATTTCGAGCTAGTATCTGTCGTCCAGAACCCATCGTGTACAATGACAGATTCAATGTGGGAGACTGTCGATGAACAGTCGTTCGATTCCTCAGAATTTTTGCCATTCCGAGGCTTCAGCACTTTGGGCTCGCTCACTGAGGACGATGGTTGTGTTCGTCCCGAGGGTTTCTCTCCGTCTCGAGGCGTTCTTGGATGTGCAACATTGTTTTCTTCTATGTCTAAAACAGGCTTGTTCTTCTTGGCAGGAGGCGAAGAACCGGCCGTACATTCAGCAGCCCTAGAAAGGCCAGACTCGCTGTTACACATCTTCTCCTGGCGCGAGCTTCTTCGAGGCACGGGCCCAGCATCGTTTAGACATATGGGTTCTGTGCCCGTTTTGCGAATTTGCGCGTCATCCAATGTTATGGAAGATACGGCTTCTTCTAGTTCCTCAACCTCGTAAGAAGACTTGAGTTTGTCCCTGTTGCGCTGGAGTTTTGATGCATCCTGGCGGTCTGCGCGGTTAGGCGTTGTCGAACGAAGTGCATGCTTCTTGTCGTCTGTCACATCTTGCTTCTGCGTACGGCGCTTCGAGCTTGTTCGAGCATTCCCTTTACTCGACGAATGAGTGGGGAGACTCTCTGCATCAGAAACTTTCTTTGTCTCCGATGCAGTGACATCTGCAGAAGCAACCTTTCGTCCACTTGTGCCGCGTGCTCGGGTGGTTCTGGGCTGCTGCTGTTTGGCATCTGCGTTGAGCGAACCATGACTCAATGAGGTAAATTGGTCGATTAGGTCATGAAGGCTCGGCGAATCGTCACTTAGGTCAGTCAATGGCTGCTGCTGTATAGATATGTCAGACGCTGGTGGCTTCCTTGAAGGATTAGGAGAATCTAGAGACTGACGGGAACTCGACAGACTGGGTACAGCAGTTGCTTTAGCAGAGACTGCGGCCTCTAAGAGCTGCGCGCTTTTGTGGCGGGATATTTCAGTTCGCTCCTTCGTGAGGGTTCCATATTTCAAAATGCTGCCTCGCTTCATATTCGGGTCTATAGGCCCCTTTTTCCGAGGTCCTGTCTTTCGTGTCGTTGTCTTCTTCGGTGCCGACTTCTCAGCTTGCTCTCGTTTCCAATTCTCCACGACTTCCGGGAGTCCTATAGTGGCCAGGGCTTCGAATACCCACACCTTCTCTGAGACATAAGGGTCATAGCGCTTTATGACACGTTTTTTGACCGGAGATTGAGGCACCGATACCACGTTATCCTCCAATTCCTCTTCCTCGTCACCTGAGACTGTCGACTCTTGAGAGGGGATTGGAGGGTTTGGCTCATCAGCAAGAATATCCAAGCCAACAACGTCGACGGGAACCATATCCAGTTGATACTCCGTTAAGCCATCGGTGCTATAGCTGGACCTGCTCTTATAGATTTTCTGCAGCATTGGCACATCGCAGTTTGATAACCTAGGGCGGTTCGCGGGAAAGGCCGATGCTTGTCTTCCAAGGCGTAGTCGGTAAGACAGAAGCGGCTCAGAAAGTAATCTGGTCACTTTCCTAGCCCCAGAGCGGTAATTCCACTCAAAGGCGTCGGCAGCAAATCTCCTCAGCTCGACAACGTCTATGTCCTTGTCCCAGGCATTTGACAGGTATTGTTGAAGGGCTTTGATATCGCCGGTCGATGAAACCACAGGATTAGCATAATATGACAAAATTGTCCGGTCGGGAAAAGTATCCGGAATTCGGACAACCTTGTGCTTGGTCTGGAAGTAACCACTTTCGTTTTCTTCCAACTCATACTGGAGTCGTTCTCTCCAATCACTTAGTCTCGTATCGAGCTCGGCACCGTCTGACTCCAGGATTTCCAGAAGATCTGCGCCAAAGCCAGCTTTGGCAATCTCGCCAGCGAGCTTGCTACCGCATTTAGGGACTCCCGACGGTAAGTAATCACCGCCACTTAACATGGCAAACAAGATCATGCCTGCACGATTAAGCTTCACACTTGAAGGATCACCAGCGGTGTTCATGCGGTAGCAGGTAACATGTGTTGCAGCCCCAGTACTACTACCGCTTTCCTTCGAAAACCCCATGACGGTGAATGTTGAGCCAAACATTAGAGCGTCAACGTCATTGGTCATAACTGCATCAACAACTCCTGCTCTTTGCAGCCTTGCACACTCTGCTTCTGCTTCTCCTGGCGCCTCATGGCGCGGAAATTTGAACAGATCAACTAGGATCTTGGAGAGCCGAATGATTGGTGCATTCCCGTAACTGCGACTTGACACGGCTTTGCCTCTCTTGAAAGGCGGCTTGTTCTTGCCATCATATACAAAAAGAGGATGGATTGGAAGCGCCAGAATCTTCAATAGCCTGTAGAATAGTGTCCGTAGCTCCGGATTTCGACCACCCCGGCCAGCTTGCACTTGGAACAACCATATCGAGATGTCCACAGCAATACGAATAGGCCTTGCTGTGCGCTCCAAATGAGTTATGGCCAATCTAGACAAGGAGATACGTTCACCAGCGCCAATGGCATGAATAAGCCTTTGTGGTTAGTGGGTTAGCTGTTGAACTACTAATTGAACAAGTGCTGTTTGCGCACTGGAAGGGGATAATATATTTCTCCCTCAAGACAAAGTTCCACAAACAGCACCTACAAAACTGGCTGACTTACCCCGGAATCCCCATTCAGACAGCCTTCCTTATTCCCAAATGTCAAAACCCAAAATGCCAACAGAAATCAAAATTGTACTGCAGCCCAGGCTCCCTCCGATGGCGAATACTATTGCAGCGATGAGTTGTTTGTTGATGTCGGCAACTGGGCGACGCGGCCCGATGTAGATCCGCCCGCCCAGAGCCTCCGCAGATTGTCGCGGCTTCCTTTTCGCGCTCGCCAATCGCCAATTGTCAATTGCCCCAGTTCGGGAGTCTTTCTTACAGTGAAAAGAGCTGCACACAGAAGGCATGATCTAAGCCTCCTCATATCAAGCGCATCGGTTGAGAGGAAGTATGATCCGCGCGGGGTCCCTGAAGCAAGTTGACTTCTGTTGGAACGTAATCTCAGTAGATTACTAGTAGTCGAGGTCACGTGACCCGAACTCCGTAACTTCAACTGCTCCTCCGAGCGCGCCTAGATAGCGAAGAATCAAGCGTTTTCAACGACTTCAGTATTGACCTAAAACGTCGTTTCAACAGGTTATGAGCCCGGCTCTTCGCTCGTGAGGCTAACCAGCAAAGATCTGAGCCACCATACACACGAAGCAAGCCGCAATTGCAACGGGGACACGCACCGCGATACCCCTATCTCAAAACACCAAAACACCGCGAATATCAAAATATTCAACCGCCGGAAGCAGACCCCAGAATGTCGCAACCAGGCAGATACCACTCTTTACAACATGTCTCGAATACAGAGGCAGTAGCCATACAACCAAAGACACAAGCAGATAGGCTTCCAGTAAAGCTACCAGAAGGCGTTCAACCCGTATCTGAAAGGTTGAAAGGGCGAGAAGACTACTCAACGTGGCGCTTTGAAATATGTCAAATCCTGAAGAACGTCGGTCTACAAGACATGATCGACAAGGGTCTATCCCATCCTAGTACAAACCACACGAATTACTGGCTATGGCACCACCTGTCAATCAACATCCAGTCCTGGCTAGCTAGCCAGCTGTCAGACCCCCTAAAGAGGGCACTGATGACGTCCCCTGACGCGCACGACTACGCGGACGATGCCTACGAAGTCATCAAATCACTCGTCCTAGGCCACGGCCACACGCTTTGCCAAACAACGTACTTCGACCTCATCCACAAACGCCGATCCGACTACTCTACCGTTGAACAATACGTGGAGGCGTTCAAACACGCATACAACTTCGCTAAAGAGTTGAAAGTCGGGATATCACCATACTGCGGGTTGCTACACCTGCTCAAAGAGCTGGAATCCGACCTTCCAACGTGGGTGTCAACAGTGGAGTGCAATTTGCCTGATAATGCTGCGGACACCCTCCAGGAGAAAGAGTTTCTAGTTTACTGCAGGACCGCAATCGAACAAGGTAATAAACAAATGCAAAGATATTCTTTCGCTGCGCCAGCGAAGAACACTGGAAGCACCACCAAGTCGGGAAGCACTGCAACGACCTCAGAGTGGAAGAAATCAACATTCCCACCGAAAGGAACGACCCCTGAGGAACACGCTAGAAAGATGCGAAACTTGAAGCCAGAGATGACTAAGGGACGCTGCGCTTTCTGTAAGACACTAGGCCATGGAGCAACCACCTGCTGGCGCTTGAATCCTGACCTCCGGCCAGAGGATTATAGGCCTCGTATAGAAGGCATCTGGTGGTTCAAAGGATCGAAGCCTAGCGAAGCATCAAATGCAGCGGTAGGCGAAATAGGATCCGATGACGAAAACCCGTATATTTTGAATTTTTCTGGCCTAGCCGTTGCAAACGCCACGAACACCTCGCTACGCTGGATATATGATACAGGCAGCTCACAGCATCTAACACCTGACTGCGCTTCCCTAAGCGGTCTCCACCAATTGAAACCCCACGAATACTACCAATATGGCACCTCGAACGGGGGAATCGGTGTTGCAAAATCGGCAGGGTATCTGACCCTGACCCTAGCTGCAAACGGCCAAAATACGGTGTTGAAGATCAAGGCCTACCACCAACCGGACCTACCCTACGGGCTCCTTTCTTCCAACCGCCTACGTACAGACCTTGGCATCTACGCTACCACTAAGGACCTGACCCTACGCAGGGACCGGGATGACAAGATCGTCGGCCACCTGCAGGCATCGAAAAACGTGCTTTTCGTCAGGACAAAAGACCCTGACCTAGCGCTAGCGGCAGTGGACCCCCTACTCTTGCACCGGCGATACGGGCACGCAGGATTCCGCCGAATCGCTACCACTGCAAAGGATCATCAAATTGAACTCGAACACAGGGACACCCTAGAGTGCGAAGCATGCTCGCTAGGCAAGGCCACACGCCTCGTTTCAAGGGACCCAATCCCAAAGACTAATGATCCAACACAGCTCTGGCATGCAGACATCCAAAAGGTGACCCCGATTGGTCATGGCGGATTCAACTACTTTCTACTCATGGTCAACAACGCTACTCGCTTAGTGAGGACGGCCATGCTTAAACACAAAGATGACGCCTCCGACGAGCTGATCAGGATGAATATGGAACACAAGAATATGGTCGGCCGATACGTGGCCACCTGGCACCTAGATGGTGGCCGCGAGTTCAACCGCTTTAGGAAATGGGCGAATCATGCAGAGCGAGGCATTCAAATCAAAATATCACCTCCTCGAACACCCGAAGCCAACGGCCTAGCTGAACGATACGGCGGCTTGCTCAACCGAATGAGCAGGGTCATGATACTAGATGCTGGCCTCCCTGCTCACCTCTGGCCGTACGCTGTACGCCTCTCAGCGCAGATCCTGAATCGCCTCGTCCCCTACCACAGCGCTGTCAGGAAGACCCCCGTGTTCCTATACAGATCCCACTACAACCTCCCGAATCCTAACGCGTCACTAGACTTCCTACGCGTATTCGGATGTCGTGCCTACCAACACATCCCGCAGGAAGATCGAGTCGCATCCCAGAAAATGGGACCTCGTGCAAAAGTCGGATACTTCGTCGGTTTCGATGGGGACAACGGACACGTTTACTACGTGTGGGATCCTATATCTGATAAAATTAAACGATCACGAGACGTTAAATTCAACGAAGATCGAACCTACAAGGATGACAAGGAGGATCCCGGTGGAGTTCCTACACGCGAACCTGACCCTAAAGGACCAACACCAGCTGGCCCAGGTGCCGCGCTCAAGTTAGACAACGCGTTCCTGCACCAAACAACCAATATATCAGATAACACGAGGGCCCTGATTGAGCAACCGGACCCTGAAGAAGACGTCATCCGAGGCAGAATCCACACCATATCTGCCTCCGCAGAGCCTCCACCTACACGCTCGATCGAGAATGCCACAGAATACGAGGCATCCTCAACGAAATACGCCGCGCAGGACTACCGCCTGCCGGACCCTACTGAGCCAGAAGAACAACCCATACTGAGGCGCTCCGCAAGGACCACTAAAGGCAAATCATCAACATGGCCAGATTACCAACAACTGGCCACGGTTGACCGGGTGACCCTACCCCACCTCAAACAACACGAAGTGGTCGTTCCGAACACCTACAGCGAAGCGATGAAGTCCCCGCTGGCACCATACTGGAAAGATGCTATGGATACACAGATCGATAAGATACAGAATATGGGCACCTACGAGATCGTGAACCGACCTCCAACCGCTCGCGCAATCCCAGGCAAGTGGGTGTACGACCTCAAGGTCAACACTGACGGATTCGTCACCCAATTCCGTGCTAGATGGGTAGTCTGCGGCAACCGCCAGATACCAGGCATCGATTACGACGAATCGTTCGCTCCTGTCGCCAGCGAAGCGGCCCTGAAGCTATTCATGACGAACGTCGCTATAAAAGATCTTGAATGGGAACAATGTGATATAGTATCTGCTTATCTACACGCGCAGATACAGGGCAAACGCGTGTTCATGAAACAACCTACCGGATACCATGAAGGACCACCGGATCAGGTGTGCCTATTAAAGATGGCCCTCTACGGCCTCCGCCAGGCGGCCCACCTCTGGCACCAAACGTTTGACGAAACACTTAAAAGAATCGGTTTCGAACCACTGAGGGAGGATCCCTGCGTATACAAAAAGGGTGATATCTGGTTGATTATTTATGTTGACGACTCCGCTATCGCTGGCCCCAGGAAGGAAGACCTAGCCGAGGTCAAACAACACCTAAACAAGGCATTTGGCCTGAAGGAAATGGGGGAACCAAAGGTTCTACTAGGATGCAACGTTCAACGTGACTACCAAGCAGGCACGATATCACTATCCCAACCAACGTACGTGGAGGAGTGCCTCAATGCAGCGAACCTAGGATCCTGCACCCCCTCCGCCATTCCGATGACCGTTGCCTACAAAAAGTCAGATCGCTCGAATATGACTACCGAAAACGTCAACCTAGCCGAATATCAAAGCCTTGTAGGGCGTTTGAACTGGCTAACCACAAAGACCCGCCCCGATATACGTCATGCAACGTTTAGACTTCAAAGGCGCATGAACACTCCCACTACGGCCGACGCTAAAGCATTGAAAATTGTATACAGATATCTGAAAAGGTCCATCCCGTACGGGATCACCCTCGCCACTGACCATACCAAAGGCATCGAAGTCTTCGTAGATGCCGCCCACGCTGACCACGAAGACGGCAAATCAACGGAGGGATACGTCATCTTCTACGCTGGCGGCCCAATCAGCTGGTCATCCAGGAAGCAATCGCTAGTTGCACCGTCATCTACGGTAGCAGAATACTGCGCGTTTGACTCCGCCGCCAAAGAAGCCTTGTATATAAAGAAATTGGTTGAAGCGTTTGACCTCAAGGCCTCCGTTGACGGCAGGATACCCTTGTACACCGACGCCGCCAACTCCCTACGGATCCTGAACCACGGAGGCTACACCAGGTCCACTAGATGGCTCGATAATCGTTACCTATTCGTAGCCGATCTGATCACGAAGAACGCTATCACCATTCAACACATCCCAGGGACCACCAACCCGGCGGACGGCCTCACCAAGCCGC